TATCTCAACGACAGGTTTGTTGAACCACAGTATTGTTATTGGAGCCAATGATGGGTTATCAAGATGATGCTCTGTGCTATCTTGTTCATTTCGTTATCCGGTTCTTGTACCTTGCGACTTGACTGTGGAGTTGAGGGGCCCCCGGTCCTCGTGCCGAGTTAAGCATGTTGATGCTTGTCCAGATATTGCTGTGTAAGCAAAAGGGCCTTGCTTATCGAACTTTATTATAGTCAAACTAGGGATTATACCCCACTGAGTCCGTCGTTTGCTGTCAAACGGCGTGGAGAATGGATGATGTGGGTGGGGGCTTCGCCAGGCAAGACGAATGCGTCGCTGCATGCATCTACACAAATCGTTATCGTCCATCTTTGGCTCAGTTGCGCATGAGAATCCTTGTAATGCTATGTTGCATGGTAATAGCTGTCATGAGAGTTTACCTTCTATATCAAGTCCTGTGGTTCTGAACGACTCAATCTTTCAGTTGTTCATGCTACTGTCATATTCTGTATTGTCGAAACAGCACTGGGCCCACTAAACCACTTTCGACAGTGCGGGGCAATGGTCCCTGACAGCCCAAACAACACAACTCCGAGTCTTTGACCAGCTTGCGGCCATCCTGACAATCCTACTTGTACGTGTTTTCGCCAGTGCTCCTCCGGTGACGTATGTTCACTCTCTATAAGATGCAGGCGCCTCTTTACTCCGAACTGAGAGTCGATGAGAAAGGAGCCTCACCACTCTCCCCGCCATCAATCAATCGCCTCCAGCAAGTCCCTCTCGCACCTTCACCCTCTCATGCGGATCATGCGATTTATTCTATGACGACGCTGCGGCTGGTTTGTTGCGCAAGCCGTCATGCGCAAGCCCTTTTCTACCCCAGGGAACAAATAGTATTCCAGCATTAGGGCACGGGTGATATGCCAGGGAAAGAAGAAATATCAAGGCCAGCATGGACATGGCAAACTTTCCACGTCTTGATTAGCCCCTTTCTCGTAACAAACCTCTTTCAGGCATACAGCATATCTTGACTATGTTCAAAACGATGAGAAGCTCCCTCATGCGCGAAAACAAAGACTGTCCTTGGCTTGGCTGAGGCAGCCGTGCCCGGTTTGTTATTAACAATCCCAGCCTCTAACTATGACTATTACACCCAAGAAGGGGGTTGGAAATGAGATTTCATGTAGGGGCAGAAACGCATGATCGGAAACGATGCAGGGTGTCATACCATCTCCGATGACCCCTCCATGCATTACTTTAGTGCAGATCATCGCCGGTAATACTAATACCGGTGAGCGCAAGCATGCTAAGTTACTACTGCCCCGCAACTTCCCTCCTCCATCAACAAACATCCCACCATCACCACCACCGCCGCAACAACACATCCAACAACTGCTACGCAGAAGCCATGGCGCCTCGAAAAGCTCTCTTCGTCATTGACATCCAGAAAGAGCTTGCCGTCGATCCCACAACCAGAGTCCCGCATGCGGATCGAGTCATCGCGTCCGCCGAGGGAACCCTCAACGCCGTCCGGTCGGTCATCGATTCCTGCCGCGAGAAGAGCCAACCATCTCCGTGGGCTATCTATTTCATTCAGCACGAAGAAAGCTCTGCGAGTGGGACGCTGCTGCGGGGCAGCGAGCCGTGGGAACTGGTGTTCACCCCGCGGGTGGATGTCGAGGAGGAAATCGTGGTCGCGAAGAAGACTGGTTAGTATCTGCTTACCGGACTCTGCGCATGACGGTACGTTGACAATGGGTGGAAAACTCCAGGCAACACGTTCGAGTCGAATCCTACCCTCTCGACGCGCCTCCGCAATGCCGATATCAACGAAATAGTGGCTCTGGGTCTGCAAAGTGAGAAGTGTGTCGAAGCGACCTGCAAGGGTGCGTTGGCGGCGGGGTTCCGCGTGACTCTCCTTGCTGGCGCGCACTCGACATACGACTCGGAGGGAAAGACGGCAACAGAGCTCGAGCGCGAGGTTGAGCGGCGTCTGTCGACTCGTGGGGCTCGTGTGTTGCGGTGGGAAGAGGCGGCTTCACAGTGGGTTCAGGAGCAGCGTCGATAGATTGGTTGTGGCCTGTGCGGGCATGTTTTTACCAGCATCCTTTTCTAGTTGAAGACTTAAGCTAGCATCTGCTTTCAGGTGAAATGTCATTTAAGTTAGTCACAAGCAGTAGTTAACTGAGATTGAAGCTTTCTACCTTGACTGCATCGGAGTTCCAGGGAACTTATGTTGATGATGGATCATGGAGAGGACGAAGATGAAAGGAGGGAAGTCTAAGAAAAAAAGATTGCGATGAAGGCTCACACATGTACCCCGCTTACACTAGCTCTACTCGCTCAGTCCCACAAGCAAGACCAAAGTAGAGTATTCATTGGAGGCAGTCAAGATTCTTGACTAGGTGAGTATTCACTATTTAAATTTATGCGTCTGTCTTGATGAGTCAGCTGCACAGAGCTCACGTCATTAGTATTGTGAGACTGACACCTTGCCGAAAGAAGAAGGTGCTCCGGTGGCAGACTTGCCGAAAGTGAATTCTCGACGCTGCCACTTCGCCTCCATTACACCCTTACACACCACCCACCTAAACTACAGTAGTTACTCTCAAGCTAGGCAAGCTGCACATATGGTATCATTAGTAGTCAATAGCTGTGCCCCACTGGATGCAGAGTTCCAACAGCAAGGTTTTGAGCGCGTGCCAGCGTTGTCGACGCCAGAAGCTCAAGGTACGCATCCGATCGGAAAACCTCGTCTCCTGTCCCCTGTGTTGATGGACTTCAAAGTGTGATGTTCAGCGACCATGCACTCTTTGCCTCAGGGCAGGGGCGCATTGTACACCAGGTTCAACTAGTCGCTGGAGGCCATATAGTCCTGTAGCTGCCTATCCAGCCCCCGACCGCCTCCCCGTGCAGCAGCATTCTTGCCAAGAAGCCAGCCCAGTTACTGCTCAACAGACAAATGACACCTCGGAGGCTAGAAGCGCAACAGCAACTGATGAATGCTGGCAATCAAGCTCGATGCTCTCTCTAGTGGATGGGGTAAGTTCCTCTATGATATGGAAACGGGAGCAAAGGCTCAAAATGTCTAGGCTTTTCGATTGCACAACACCCCCGCGCCACCGGATCGCACAACAACAGCTATCCCAGGAGGTGATGTACGATATAATAGCCCGGTGGTCCCCAACACTGGAGTTGATGCAGCACCTTCATCGAGCAAGGAACCCTCTCTGTTCACGCGACAATATGTCCACAACGGTTTGTCCTTGTCTGCCACCGAACTTCTATCATTGATGCCCCCATATGAAGCTGCGAGCTTGCTCGTGGACACGTACTTTGACCGCGCCCACTGGTTCATGTTGATCTTCCAGCAAGATGACTTCCGGCAGCGATGGCCCAAGCTCTATCAGCGCCACCCGGGCCGACCAGCAGAATATTCCAATGCCGCGTTTTTGTCCACCTTTCTCGTGGTCATCGCCATCGGGATTCACTACGTGGGCCCATATCGGCAATCACTACTAACCAGACACGGCGTCGCTTCAAGTCTGAAAGACCGTATCCTGTCTTGTGTAAGAGCCAAACTTTTGGACGTTATGTCACTCGGCTCGCTGGAAGCAGCGCAGACCTGCGTACTGCTAGGGACCTACTACTTGTACCATGGCTCTCCTCGTCTGGCATGGCCTGTGTGCGGTTGCGGACTCCGCATTGCACAGGCCTTGCATCTGCATCGCCGGTTACGGCCTTTGGAGTCCCCCGATTTTCGCCAGCAGTATGAAACGCGGAAGCGGTGTTGGTGGGCTATATATGAGATCGAGACTTTTTCTGCCGTGGTATACGGCTATCCGCACAGTATATGGGATGCTGATTGCGACGTGGAGCCCTTGGATCCATCAGCCAAGCTGCAGGCGGTGCAAAGTCCGAGAATATTCGACGAACTTCAAGCGCCCAATACAACATTGCTGTCATACAAACGCCTCATGTCTGAGCTATCAGTGGTAACAAAAGCAGCACTGGGCGAGTTGTATCGCACCAAGACTTCTCCGGTGGAAGATGGAAAACCGCTTAGGTCGCGAGAGGGCTTACAGGACACCCTCCAAGCAGTGGCTAAATACAACTCGCGCTTACAGCAGTGGCAAGCTAGGCTTCCCCTCGAACTTCAATGGGACCGAATCTCCGACCACGCGAACTACTCGACCCCAGAGGAGATAGATTGCGATATCGGAGCGACGGGACCGCGCTTCGAGAGCCACATCTATCAGCTACAGGCTATGGCTTTGATGCTGGCGTACGAGAATGCCATGATTCTTACGCACAGGCCTCTTCTGTCTTACAAACTGCACAGCAGCACGGACTCTGTGGCTCCCCGGGCGGGCTCGGACCAAGCTGATCAGCCAAAGCCTACCCCATTCGTCTCGTCACTGGAGGCCTGTCGTACTGCAGCGCTGAGAATGTCCTCTATCCAGTCAAGTCCAGTTCTGAAGCTTGTCGCCGAGACCTACGCTGTGACCTTCGTCAGCATACATACCTTTACCGCGGGAGTCACCCTGGGTATTCTGTGCAGCATGGACCCCTTGAGCCAGCAGTCCAGTGCTTCCAAGCTAGCCCTTCAGAATGTGATGGAGATACAGGAGACGCTGAAATCGCGCTCGGTGGTGGCGGAGCAAGGACTAGACATCCTCCAGCGACTGACCAAGCTTATAATGCAGAAGGAGCTGGACATGCTGCTGGGTAAGAGTAAACGCACGACTACGCAATCCAGCAGTCCTAGGAGACCATCCAATCAAGGTTTGCCTGACGAGCTACAAGTTCTCACTGGGGACGTCACATCCGAGGTCTCTACTTCGGAGGGCGTAGCGACCCTTGACCGTGGTACCCCCAGCGCCCTGCCGGGTCCAGATGACATCTTGTACACCAATGACCCTGCAATGACGGATGCCCTGCACGACTTCGATCAAGGTTGTATTTCTCATTCCTCTATCATACTTCAAGCTAACACATGGTCTAGCATTGCTATCCTATGCCCCTCAAGCCTGCGGAGAACAGGAACAGACGGCAGAAAATCCGATTCTGTGGCCGCCAACCGTGGACGGCTTTCCAATCCTGGAACAGACGTGGTTATGGGATCTCGACAACGATCCCTTCTTTCACGCCGACCTCGGACCTTGACCGCGAATTGCAGAGTCAATTCTGTGGAACTAGAAACCCATGAGTGCTCAAATCTCGAAGCAAAATCACCGAACCTAATAGCCGCCTGTGGTACCCTCCTCCGCCATCGGCTTAAACCACACCTCCACAGGCTCATTTCCAACCCCCCGCTTCCTGGCCTCCTCCAGAATGGCGACCGTGGCCGTGGCCCCGATCCGCGTCACACCCAAGCTCATCACATGCAGCAGATCATCCAACGTCCTCACGCCCCCGGCAGCCTTAATCTGCACCTTCTCCGCGGACTTCTCCCGCATCAACTTCAAATGCGCGACAGTCGCACCCTTGTAATTATACGACCCATCCCCCTGCTTGACGAACCCATACCCAGTTGAAGTCTTGACAAACGCTACTTCCAGCTGCGAGCAGATCTCACACAGCCGGGCAATCTGCTCGGGCTGGAGGTAATCATTCTCGAAGATGACCTTGAGGGCGGCCCCGTTGGCGACGACAGCCGCGTTGATCCGACGGATCTCCTCCGTGACGTACGCCCAGTCGCCGCCGAGGACCTTGCCGACGTTGACGACCATGTCGATCTCGGCGCCGCCCGCCTGGGCCGCGGCGGTGGCCTCGAGGACTTTGATCTCGGTCGTGCTGTTGCCGTGCGGGAACCCGATGACCGGGCAGATGAGGACGTCCGAGCCGGCGAGTTCTTGCTTGGCGAGCGGGATGGCGTAGGGCTTGACGCAGGCGGTGGCGACGTGGTGGGCGCGGGCGATCTGCAGGCCGGCGCGGATGTCGGCGTCGGTCATGGTCGGGTGCAGGAGGGAGTGGTCAATCATTTTGGCCAGCTGGGGCAGGGTCACGGTGATTTTGTTGGACATGGTTGTGAGGTCTTGTTTGGATAGGCTGGTAGACTGAGCTGATGAAGTTGTATTGAAGATTGCTTGGGGTGTCGTGGGGAGTTGGGGTGTTTTATATCCAGGCTGCAAGTACATAAGGTCTGAGCGTCTTCCGGTGGAGGACCTTCCATATTGGGTAATTCCTTCCACCGGTGCAGTTCACAAGTTGTCTGCTGAGAATTCGTTCAAGATGCGGAGATATCGATCTCTTCTGGAGTCTGCAACTCTTATTCAGTATGCTATACGGTTTGTCAGCTCCAGTTACAAAGTAATAACACGGGGGAAAGGACCCTTGCAGACTGCCTCATACTCGTAGTAGTTAGTAGCAGGCCGGAAAACCCGATCGAGGCCAAATTGACCTGCCCCACGGGGAGGCGGATTAGGGCTCGGCACACGTTCCGTTGGCGCTGCCGATCAGCCAAGCTAAGTATTATCAAATTGGATATCCTGCACAGTATACAGGCGAAGGGATCATGAAAATTCGCGAATCGACGTTCGGTCTGTCGATCTCGATCTCAACGATCAGAGCAGAACCTTGCCAGCTGGATGATCAATCCCCAGCCGAGAAAAGCTCGAATGCTGTCGTCTCAACGTCCCACTGCGGACACCTGCCCACGACCCCCTTTGTAAGCATTCCAAATCGCTGATTGAACACCAGTGCCTGAGGACGAACAAAGGCCTGGACCACAGCCCCGGGTTTTCCGCAGGATGCAAAAGAAGGGGGCGGCACCTGTACCCACGGATGGCTTTGGACAGCAACGGTCATGACATCACGACTGCCCGCCAAGCTCAATCAGCCTATCGTCCCACGTTTTGTGCCAGCGGAAGTATGACCCCGTAGGGATGAGCTACCGACCACAAAACCAAGCATCTGCCACACCCCAGCATCCCTGCTTGTTTACCCCCCTTCCTGTTTCTCCCCTTACCCCTGCAGAAACACATGCCGGCTACAGCATGCGAAGATGTCGAGCGAACACATCATCCCGGGACGACCCAATGACCACGAAAAAGCCGCCGACGACCCCAAACCAGACAGCCTGTACGAGGCGTACGAGATCGAGCTCCAGAGCTCGGCGGGCGGCAGCATCCGCTTCGGGGACTTGATCGCCGGCAAGGGGTCGAATATCACGACCTTGGTTATTTTCAGTGCGTTGGCCTAGCCCTCCCCATCCCAATCCCCCCCTTGGATCTGGCATAGACATATCCCCCTGCTCTGCTCATCAACCTCAATCCTCCCCGCCATCTCAGCCCACGCTCCCCCTCAATCAACTAACATGCACGTCCCCCCACGGGGGGGATAAAGTACGCCACTTCTTCTGCATCTACGACCAATCCTACGTGCGCACGCTCTCGCACCACCTGAGCGACAGCCTGCTCGCCTCCCTCCCCGACCCAGGCAGCGGCGGCCCCTGCCAGGTCATCATCATCGGCTGCGGCGACCCCGCCCGCATCGTCCCCTACGTCGCCGAGACTGCCGCCCGCTTTCCCGTCTACACCGACCCCACCGGCCGCATCTACTCGGAGCTGCGCATGAACCGCACCGTCCGCGGCATCACGCGCCCGCCCGCCTACACCGAGGTCTCGTTCGTGCGCGCCCTGGGCCGGACCCTGCGCCAGATGTTCTCGGCGGGGGGCTGGCGGCGTGCGTTTCGCGGAGGGCCCTGGAATTTGAATGGCGGGGAGTGGGTGTTCAAGGGGAGACGGTGCGTGTATGTCCATCGGATGGAGAGTGTGGGCGATCATTTGACGGCGGGGCAGTTGTTGGAGGTTTTGGGGGAGGGAGAGGGGGAGGGGGAGAAGGACGAAAGGGGTGAGGGGTGAGGTGTGATACTGGGTGGGTGGGGATAGTGGTATTGTTGGGTGGAGTTGATGGGGCTGGATTTCGGGGTTCTGCATCTGGTGTTTGCTTGGCTGCTGGGTGGGAAGGTTATATGCCCCTTATTATGTATGTCATGATTCTTGTTGCACTTCATTACCAGCTTCTTAGACTAATGTATCCGGTAGAATTTGTGGTAGTCAGTCTTCTGCTGGGATTTACATACACTCGCGTTCCCCGGTGTAATCCTTGGAAGATCATGACAACTAGATCAGAATATTCATCCATATATCAGAGACGACCACATGATAAGCCCGACAGAGAGAAGAGGTTCTGGTGAGAGCTTAAAGCTAGAGGCTAAGGGACACTGGATCCATTGACCATACTATCCTGCCACCAGGCAGCCATCCCCCTACCTCTCAACAGCAACAACAGATCTGATCATGAGTGGCTGGCCCCTTTCAATCCTCTCCGTCACTGTCCGGTGGTATCCCTCCCCTCCGGTATCCTCGTTGAGGATACTGTTCCGACACGACCAGATCCGATCTAGGTCCGCATTGAAGCGATCACCCTTAGCACGCCGCTGCTCAACGAACGATGCATCCCACTCTCTGTACCCGGTGTGCCACCTTCTGCGCTTGTCGTGGACGGGGACCCAAACGATGACTTTCATCTCCTTCGGGCACTCTACCACCTCCCACGTTCGATGCACGACGTCGATGTCGGCGAATCTCGCCGGGGTGTCACCCGTGGAACCCGTGGCATTGCTCACGATGGAGACCTGTCGACACTCGGGATGGGGACTGGACCATTTCGAACTCGGGCACACATGCTCCGCGCCCTTTTTGTGGAGGAGGCCGCTGGGGAACGCCAAGCGGGTGAGCGGGGTTGGATGCTTCACGATCGTAGGGTGGCCGGGACGGGGGTTCCAGGGCCACATGTGCGCCACCTGCTGGTCCACCCCCGCCTTCAACATCAGGTTGCGGATCCGATGGGCGTTGGGGAAGAAGTTGAACCATTGACGGTACGGGACATAGACCGTGTCCCGGGTAGGATCGAACGGCCGCACGATGGAGAAGCGCCGCGTCTTCTTGTGGTAGCGGATCTGTAGGCGGGGCTGTTGCTTCTCCAGCCAGTGCAGGGCGACCCATCGGGCCTCGTGGTTTAGGGAAAAGTGTGGCAGGTGGACTTCATAGCAGTCTAACGGGCGCGGGTCGAACTCGATGTGAAGCTCGTTCTTTTTCTCATCCTGTGCGTTTTTAGTCTCATCTAGTCGGGCTGTCCAGCAGTCGTATCGCCAGATGTACAGCGGATCGACGACCGGATCGGGCAGCGCGGCCTCCGAGACCATCAGGCGGAGCTCGGGAGGGAGGCGCGAGAGAGGAGGATTCGGTGTTGAGGTTGTCATGGTTTTTGGAAAGATGACGGAGATGGCAGTGTGACAGCTGAGGAGAAGGACCCTGACTGCGTAAGAATGACGGTTGACGGATGACAGAATAGATGGAGATTGTTGAACCTGGATGAAGATGAATCGAAATAGATAGAGGAAGATGAGGTGGTGAAATGAAGAAGAAGATGAAGAAGATGAAGAAGATGAAGAAGATGAAGAAGTCAGCCAAGCCAGGAAGAAAATCCCTGGAGCTGGATTTGGTGGAATTCCAAGTTGGGAAAGAGGAGTGCAGTGAATGGAGAATTGTCGCTTGGGTAACACATGACCAGCATGATCCGTGTTTTGTTTCTTTATCGAAGATGCTACTTCCAAGAAAACGTCATCATAACATGTCTTTCGACTAACTACTCTTCATCACAAAACCTCCGCCGGAGCCTTCACATTTCTATCCACCTTCTCCCCTACACCCTTCATCTCCAACGTCGACCGCGGAGGGCAAGAGTGAGGATGATTGCAAAGGAGGCCTCATCGAACCCATCTTTGTCAGTGGGAAAGTGGACACAACAGGTGTGGAGAAAAAGTACTGTTTCAAAACACAGGACTAGAATGAGCATGGTGACGCCGCTCTGACTCTATGGTATGTACATGCAAGAAGGATTCCAAGTCTATGGGAGTGATGCGCGAATCTCAGCACACGATCCACCAGCGACCGCGACTTCCAGTCTCTCTTTGCCGTTGCTCTTCATCTTCCCATCGACGGTGTACGATTTGACCGCAAAGGGCAAGATAACGACGCCCCTCGTCTTCTTCGGCCCACAAACCTCCAGCTGCAGGCTCTTCTTGTCGGCACCACTCAGCCGCCAGCTGGCCTGGATCGTTCCTCGAGGGGTGGGTACGCGACCTCGGGCCCACGAGACATTCACATCCAGGATTGCCGGCTGAAACACCCACGTGTCAAACCCAGGGGATGTGGACTGAACGCCCAGAACATACTCCGACAGGACATAGGTCGGAGCGCCGCCCCAGGGATGCGCATGGGAGGTATACAAGTCCAGACCGGGCCGACCATCAGGATACAGATATTCCCACGAGGTCCCTGTATAGTACTCATCCTGGGTGACCATGGCGGCCCACAGTTGGTCCAGCAGCACACTGATAGCAGTCCTTCGCTCCGTCGATGCATTGGTGCTGTCGCGACTTGCTTGGAACAGCGCCTCGAGCAGGAAGCCCGACAGGAACGGTGCAAGGTTGGTGCTCGAGGAGTTTGCGACCGAGGTCGAACTCTTGTACCCGATCCCTAGGCGCAGCGATGAAAGCGCCGCAATCGAAGACTGGGTTTGGGTCGCGTTGGCGATGCCGGACAGAATCGCCCATGCGCTGCCTGCAATGGCCTGTTCGCCCAGAGTGCCGATGTCTACGCCGTAGGCTCCCAGTGATGGGCTCCAGAGATGCTGATTTACAGCTTGTTTAATGGTTTGAGCAGACTGGCTCCACGAGCTAGCCGACTCGGTTGCATTCACGGCAGTCGCGAGGTCAGCCATTTCGCTCAGAGTGTGAGCGAGCAGGGCCGATGCCGCAGTACCATTGCTCGACCCCAGGAAGAACGCCCCAATGTTGTCAGTGACCGCCAGGCCAGTCTGCTCGTCGATGAGCCGCAGAACGGCCTCAACTCCTGTCTCAATCTTCGTCCAATACTTCTGGAGAAAAGCACGGTCGCCGGAATTCTTGTAGTACCCAGCCACAGCCTCTAATGTGAAGAACTGGTAGTCGAGCAGACCAAAGGAGCTGTAAATGTCAGTGTACTCGGCGGACTGACCCATCTGCGGCGACATGCTGAAGAGCCCCTCGTACACCGACGAGTTGTCTGCTTGACGGTCCATGAGGTACTCCAAAGTCCCCGAGATGAAGTCACTGCGATAGGTGCTGGCTTGGACGATGCGGTAGGTGTGGAAGAAGTCGCCCGACCACACGAGTCGGTCGCGTTTCGCACCATCCAGGCAGACCGAGTGGGTGTTCGGCAGAACGCCATATTCTTCCAGAACTGCATCCGAGGTCATCGGATTCTGGTAGAGCACGGTTCCGTTCTGAGCGTGCACTTCCACGTCCTTGACCAATGCCACCTGGTCCTGGTATGGGCCGAATCCCCAAGTGCCACCCGTCAGACTGCCTGACCCTCCGATTGTGCCAGCCGGAGTCTGGAGATCGGCCAAGGGCACAAAGACTTCAGTCTCATTGACTGTCACCCCGTATCCTGTGGCATCAATACGGGTTGCGATGTGGTACCATTGGTCTTCTTTGACGTCAAATGGCAGCGGGTAGTGGTTGACCTTTCCTGAAGTGAGGGAGGTCTGATTGACCAGGTTCCATCCATAGCCCACCGCCAGAGTGTTGGGCGGCACGACCGTTCGGTTGACGTTGACGAAGGTTGAGTCCGAAGGATATTCGCTGGTGAGGACGAAGTAGGCGCCGTACCCGCCTACCCCGGCGGCCACTTTCCACCCACTCCCGCCGCGCACGATCTTCGTATCGAATGTCAGGGTGTAGTTGTCGAACGATGCCCCCTTGACCGACTGGGCAGGCTGCTGGCCTCGCAGATACACTCCGTCTTCGGTGACTTCCCATGTTGAAGGTGCGGCGCCCGCTGCGATGCATGCTTGCTGCACCGTCCGCGCCCCCAGGGCCCAGATCTCGTTGTATAGACTGTTCGACGATTCGAAGAAGCCTGGCAAGCGGTCGACGGGCGTCCGATCATTTTCAGACCTCAACCCAACATCGCAGATGCGAATGCTGCCGTCGGTCAGCAGTTTCAGGGTGTGCCAACGCTGACCCCCCTGGATGAAGAACGACTCGACGCGCCCGGTCGAAGTGACGTTGAAGGTCTCGACGCGGAAGGTGTTGGAGAGACCATTGGCAAAGTCAAAGGGGCCGTCTGCAAATGGCTCATCTAGCCCGGTATAAGGCTCGCTATACTTTGCTTCGATCTGGACAGGGGTTGAAAGCGATTCAACCTCAAAGTAGGGAAAGCCTGCAGCCTCAGTGCCGTAATCTAAGGTAACCAAAGGGGTTTGCGGGTCGAGGGTAAAGCAGGGAGACTGCGTGTCACTGGTATAATTCCGGAAACCGGCATTGGTCCGATAGCGTGTAGGATGTACAAGCGTCTCACTATACTGTAGAGTTAGTCGCAGATTTGGTGCTGCAAGCTGCGCCAGGGGGAGGGGGGGGGGGAAATACCTGTGAGCATGGACCAGGGGAGTCAGCGCCAGACAGCCCCAGAGAACGGGTGCAATTAGTGCAATTAACGCAACGGCTGATGGCATGGTATCCCTTCCGCCACTGAACCTTGTTCGTAAGTGAGATCTAATAGGAAACAGAGAGCTTTCCGACTGGGGTTATATGAAGCTCCTCTCGGGAGCTGTGGTGGACCTCCAACCTACCTGGACCGAGGGCGGGGATGATTTTGTGGGGGATCGCGGGGTATCGGGTTAATGCCTCCCGATAGAGATGGATTCAGGGTCATATATACGAGCTTGGCAGTCTTGGACGGAGAGAGGATCAAATGCAGGATGGGGTTGAGCACGATAGTTGACGTGTGAACCATTTTCTTGTGCAATGATCGATTGCCTGCAATCGAACCAGCCTAGGATTCTCTACTGCAACGCAGTTTGATTTCTCTGGTTGGTATGCCAATACCGAAAAGGGCGTTGATCCATGATGAGATAGTGGCGGTAGCAGAACTGCTTTCGTTTTCGGTTGTTGAGAATGAGACAGAAGCAACTGACTACCTAGTATCATTCAGCTCCTGTGTTTCCTACGTCTGGTAGATGCTTCTCATTATGGCTCGGAAATACTTCTCAGCCCGACCACGGCATCTCTAGCATTCATTCACTACTGCCTGTCCTGGCTGCTCATCTTTGTTCTCTCTTCAAATGCCACTTCCAGGATGCCATCTCTGATATTTGACACCTCCCCCTTCTTCCTCCCATCCATCCTTCAGAGTTGACACAGACCCCGAGCTCAAGCCATCACCATAACCTTCATCCACCTATTTAACCGGCTTCACCATCAGTTACTACCAGACCTCTTATCAACGAAACCTTCGCCTCTGCCGCACTCAATTCAACCTGAAACAAAATGAACCGAGCCGGGAACACAAGACAGGGAGGCCGCCGCGCATCTGTCCGCGGGCACCGAGCCGAACCCTACAACCTCCCACCACCGACCGCCCCTAACCCCCCCCGCCCCCCCCGCCATCTCAGCCATCTCAGCCATCAAACACAACCGGTACCACCCCCGGCCTCATCCCCGACATCAAGGGGCTCCTTACGCAGATCGAAGCGCAACTCCAGTCCAGCCCACCCACCGCTCCGAGCTGGGTGACGACCGCCCACCAGATCATCGCCGCCGGCGACGCGGCCCAGAACGAATTCGACCGCCGGCAGTTCGCCCACCAGGCCAAGCTCCAGAACCTGCATGTCCAGCTCAAGGGCGTCACGCTGGAGATGATGGGGTTGGTGGCTAGGCTGTAGCAGTTGAGGGAGGAGCTGGATGAGGCGCACTTGGGGGCTGCGAGGGGTACAAATGGTGCGGTGTGGCGGGCGACGCGGATGGCGGTGGATGCGATGGTCGAGGCGCACCGGGGAGATAACGAGGGGTGTGCGGGGGTCAGGAAGGAGTTGGAGGGGCTGGATGACGTGCATGATTCTAAGGCTGCTTCGGATGTCGAGTGATATGGATGGGGTTTTCTGGGTCTTGGTAGTTGAAAGAGGATGATGTATGGCGCTGGAAGAACATCGGGTGAGGGGAGCATCTTGTTTCAAGCGTTTTCGTTCCACCTTGCTATTCTCGAGACTCCACTGTATGCTATTCAGAACTAGGTAGTCTTGAGCATCTGTCAGATGCGGACACAGCAATGACTGTTTGAGACTACTGGAAGCGACTCACAGTCCCTGTCTCCCTCCTCTTCACATCCACGCGGGTTGTGGTGATTTAATTTGAAATATGTAGCTAGAACAGAATTGGAACTTGAAGCCTGCGAGGCTTAACGAGGACTTTAATTCTCACTACTACCCGAAGCCTAGCCGTTGATATTCTACTACTACGCCATCTGCGGCCGTCATGTTGTAGGACCTTAGATCACTCGGGCATGGGAAATAATGAGACAACGATATCAGTCATAAGCTCTAAGTTCAACTTTCTAAATAGATATAATCCAAAGCCACCTCTGCGTGCTTCACTAGAAGAACTCTGAAGAGAACAAAAACACCGCTCTATTATGGTCATCGCATGAGAATCGAACAGAAATAAAGAATGATCAACACTTGGAGAGGTTCCAGAAGATATACATCCCAAGGGAAGGGCGACGCGCTGGAAAACACGACACAAACAGAACATACAATCCTGCCGTCTTCGTCCCCATCGACACTGAGACCAGTGTCGACACACCACTGGCAGAAAGCACTGCCGCAGAGCCCGCGGGAGGTAACTTAGCGACGAGACACGCAGCAGAGGATACCAGAGCGGCCGAGGAAGTAGAGCGATCCGAGGAAACGGAACAAAGAGAGACCCGCGGTAATCCAGAGAATGACTTCGAAGTACCAGGAGGTGCGGGTGGTCGAGGTGTTCTGTTACAGAATTCAGGTCAGCAACCAGGCAAGCACTAGTAGAGTCACGAGTGAAACTTACGGTCAGACACATCTTGTCCACACCAGTACTGGTAATCAGCAGCGCCACGAGCAGGTTGCTGAACACCCACAGGCAAACCAGCATGGTACGGAAGTTCTTGTAGGCGTCGTCCAGACTCTTGCCACTTTCCTCCTCGGGTTCGATCCACGGTGCCAGCGCACGCTTGACCGTCGATTCGAACTGGCTATCGATATCGGCTTGCGGTTTGTCGATTTCTTCGATGAAGTTCTGCTTGCCGTCATCGTCCTTCTTCGTTTGCACGGACGGCAGAGCTTCCGCTTTATCGGATCCTTTGGTACCCCAGGAAACGTCGTGCCAGTTGCAGAAGGCGTACACCATCAGGATGTTGATACCAGTGGTCATGCCCATGAAGTAGGCCCAGGAACTGGTCAGAATGTGCCAGGGGTCCATGTAGAGGACACTGGCAATGATGTAGATTCCATAGGTCGAGACGAGCGCAATCAAGACGATACCACCACCTGACGAACTAAAGAATGACTTCAAGAAGTCCGTGAGACTCTCGTTGATGTCGAGGTTGAACAATCCGGAGCTGAACGCGTTGACAACCAGGTAGAACGACAAAATCAGGACGTAGATCTGGACCAGCGAGAAGTACATGAACGAGAGGGTGTAGGGGACGACAGTTCTGGGCGAAATGTGAGCATTGCATTCAAGCTGAAGAAGCCGGACAGTCACTCACCCTTTCGGCCGATTACCGAGAGCCAGAATGAACTGCAGCGCGAGAACCCAGAGGTAGCCATATTTGATGAAGTTGTTGACGATGGGCGACGCATCGTCTCCAAAAGGCCATCCCTTGTTGCCGTTGTGAGAGCTAGGTGTACCCACCAAGTCCATAATGACGGAGCTAGTCAACCAGTAGGAAGCTGTGAAACGACACAATATTAGTGTGAACAAATAGATGCAAGTCGCGGCTATTGAACAGGGCATACCGAGAGAGAACCAAGTCATAATGAGCTGAATGACGTTGTAGATCATTTGAAGGTGCAGGAAGAAGAGACGGACGATGCTGTGACCACTGCGATAGATCCGACCAAAGTGCATGAGCGAATACAGACCAGCCGCGAACGATCCGTTCAGCCAACGTCTTCTTTGACTGATAAATTCAGCCGCTCCTTCCGGAACGTCCGTCTCACCCTTGGATGCCTTCACGTAACTCAGATGCCACTTGAAACCAGCCTTGGCCACGAGTTCGAAGCAAAGAATACGATCCTCAGCCAAGAACATGTTCTTCTTGAAGATATTCATGCCGTCGATACCCTTCTTACCAAGGCGTTTGGACAAGGTGTGATCTCCGTGGAAGTACTGCTCCAACGGTCGGCCCATAATTGCACGGTAGCGGTACGCAGAGAAGGCACCAGGCAAGACACTGACATAACCGAACGCACTCTCGAGGGGTTTGTCCAAGATATTGGAGATCTTGTACTCAAAATTCTGAGCAGCCACCAGAGGATTCAGGACTTTGCGCCATCCCTGACCCAACATGGCATGGATCTCACCACAAGAACCACCGAGGGTCTTATCGTTGTAAAAGGCCTCCCATAGCGACAGCAGGGACTTGGGGCCAGGCTTAGTACCAGCGTCCAGCAAGATAACAACTTCAGGGTTGAGGATTCGACTGAAGGCATTGAACAGCCAGCGGTGAGAGTTGATCTTCTTGCTGTTCTTTTGTTTCAAACAAAAGATCATCTGCACGGGGGGCAGATTGGTCGACTCATTGCCCTGGGGACGGATCAATTGTTGAGTGGGGGTGACCGACAATTGAGTGGTGTATTCGAACTGTTAGGGGTGCGGGGATTGTCAGTACTTCTTGCCTTGTTCACTCGGATCTGAGACAATCGCCGGGTCCATCACCGCCCGCCTTCCCGCACCGAGTGACTTACCACGTGTGCGACGGTCTCTCGTCCGTCGACGTCCTTCTTCATCACTCCGTCCTGATAAATACCGATTGTTGCCAACACATCCAGCGTGTTCTTGTCGCACGGATCGATACCATCGAAAACGAGACAGACCACAATCTTCTGCCACGCCGGTCCACCCTTGTTCCAGAACTCGGACTTCTTCAGGTTGACGATATCGCGGATATTTTGCATGACACCGTGCAGGGTACGCGCCGTCAGGACCTTGTCTTCGTTATAGTATGTGATGGCGATCAGCAGTTCGGTGTGTCGATTATAGATCGCGGGCCGCAGGTTATAACCGTTCCGCAACGTGAACTCGTCAGGATCACACGTGGCCGCCGTGTCTATAGGTGATCTCGGTCAGCTCCCCCTCCCTTCTCCCCTCGTGGTCGGAAAGCACCTACAGCGCATGTGTGTGAACTCCTCCGCAAACGCCTCCTCCGCTTCACGGTATTGGGGCTGGATCGCGTTCTGGATGGCACTCGGGACGGGGTAGTCGACACTCAGGACGGAACCCTGCACCAGGTTGATCTTTCTCGTTCCGAAGCGGCGGAGGGCGCCCGCGCGACTGCCGGCCTGGGAAGCGGGTTTTTCGGTGGTCGATCGGGCATCGTAGATGTCACTCGACTCGGATTCTTGATAAGGGGGCGTCGCGAAGACCGTCGCGCCGGGGTCGTGCAGCGTGTACCGACGGAGGGAGTCGGTGGACATGGCGGGGTCCTCGAAGGGACCGCCATAGTGGCTGGATGGGTTGCGCTGCAGCAGGGACTGCTCCTGTTCCTCGTGCTCGTCGCTGTGGTACGGTTGTTGCTGCTGGGGTTAGGCACAGCGGACGGTCGCAATGGCCGGTGGACCATGACAGAACACTCACGTTGTGGGTGGGAGAAGCATGTGAGAAGTAACTGCTCTCACTCTCTTGGGGAGAATGACTCCCGTAGTTATGTCCTGGCGTACCCATCTTGACACGAGTGGAAGATGGGAAGCCTGTAAGGATGTCTGGACAATTGCTTTTGAACAAGCAAAGGTTAAAGGAGTTTATTGAACCTCAGAGGGGCAGTCCAGGCAGGGACCGTAGGACACCAAAAATAAACGCTTACTCAAAAGAAGAAGGATAAAAATAAAAACAGAAGTTCTTGGGCGAAGGGGAAATGAGATTATGGCAGAGACCAGCAACGGAACCACGCAACGCCAATGCTCTTGGATTGGACGGGGGCCTGGGTAAACCGACAGTTCTCAAGAGTGGATACGTGCCCGAAAACCATATATAGGGGGCAAGAACGGTGTGCTACGGGAGCAAAAGGGAGGCTGAGAGCCCAGAGGAGCAATGTCTAAGCCTTGGGATGGGACCGTTGTGGCGATGTCATTCGACCAAGAGGAGCACTGTCCGTTCACTACAGTTGAAATATCAAGGTCCTGGTTGTTCGACTGGGGAAGGGGGGGCGACACAGGCAACAAGAACTGAGGCCCCCTCCCAGCCAACACCGGTCATCACCCTGGAGGGCAGAATCTGTTTTTGGCCCGCCAGCAGGACGCAAAACTGGGGGTTGATGGTGCGCTACAAAATGAGAGGCATGCTCACAGCTGATGGGCTTCTGTCAGTAGCGCATCCGAGACGAGATCTTTTGTCGTCAGCTATTGGGGATCCACTCGAGCAAAAATCCTTTTCCGGGGCGCAGGGGAAACGCAGTTGAGCAAACAATGGGTCGACCACATTTAGGATCGACCATTTCCCTCTCAGTGACAAGTAGAATTGTGAGACTCAATTTCGCATGCAATTCGAGAACGGTAGCCCGCACTTGAGATGAGGACACATTCCTATCAGCGCATATGGACTGCGTGCAATGAATGCGAACGACGATTGCGAGATGAACAAGGAGATCATCTCGTCGAGAAAATTCGTCGGCAGGTCAGAGTTTCCGGATCGCCTGTGGTGGAGTGAAGGCAGCAGCCGGGCTTCGCCCATTGGCTGAGCAGAAAAAGGATGCCTACAAGCAGAAAAGTGTCGGCGATTTTAGCAGAACAGACTATCGTAGCTAAGACCGCGTGTGGTTCACGGGTGGTTCCGATAGAAGCCAGTTGGAAGGCGCAATCCATCCCAGAAGGCTGTGAACGCGCAGGCTGTGGAGTCCGGTCCGACAGTATCTCCGATCAGGCGAGTCATTGTCACCGTCAATTGGTCAACGGCCGATGTCGGCCAGACGTTAACACCAAAAGAAACCCCACAGCGGAGGCTCTTAGTCAGAACTAGTCGACCACGCAAAATTCCATTTTCGGAACCAACCATCAACGATTCACGAGAGAAAGGGGGGAAAACTCAATGCAAAATGAATAGGGGGGAAGCAGCAGAGGCAATGTCCAGGACCCCAAGGCCTCCTTGGAAATCTCTGTCTCTCTGCTTGCAAAGGGCTATCTGGCTGCGTTGATCACAGTTGTCGCTTGGCTTCGTCTTGCGGGATGTGCTGGAAAAGTAATGAAATCATATCCCGAGGGGATGATCGAAACCATGCATGACAGCCACCACGACAGCTCCAAAACTGTTGTGGCATCAAGGCACTGTCCTTCCTTCCTGAGCCAATCGCCGTCCAGATCGGATATTGATCCGGGTCAGGCACAGACAACGCAATCATCATCATGCGCAAATACTAACCATGGGAGAATGCGACAAAGGACGTACAGCGGACGGGATCCGTCTTTTATATGGACTTCTGTCTGCTTTGCTTTGGCGCCGACCTGTCTTTTGTAGGTAATCACCTCATGGCGCTCCTGTCCCGACCACTGCTGTCATCCGACGGAGACAATGCGGTGGTTTGGGTACGCCGAAGCCGAGTGATGGTAGACTGAAAGATTGGTCCAACCAAAGTCCGACCTGGTCGGATCCACTTGTCTGCGGATCATCCACCGCCATAGCGCGCCATCACCGACAATGTCTCATGCATATTCCGACATGAACTTTGCTCATGATGCTTGTTTTCTGCAGAGCGAGTTGCTCATTACTAGAATGCGAGGAAAGGCTTGAAGTACTATTTAAACAGATGCTTTGATGATATGGTGTGCCTCGTAGCGGGGAGAGGGATCGGATATGCCGGGTATTCGTATTGCCCTCGACTTTGAGACACTGGCATCCACTCGGGCTGAGTGAAATGAGCTTTAGACGTAACTGACGACGATTGGTACCGGCAGCGTGCCACCATCCACTACTAATCCACTATCTGATGCAGGACTTGAAGTGCAGTTTGAGAGCAACGAGGAAGGCCAGTAGATCGGACGTGTGCGTCAGATTCGCAATCAAGCGTTCGACCCGGTCATAATCTCGTCGGCTGGTTTCGTTCGACTGATCGTAGCAGAAGGCATACTTCTTCAAGGCTCAACTATGTTCTAAACTCTTTGAAGCATCAACACTGTCAGCATCACTGTCATGGCTGCGGCTGTCCATCTACCCATCACCGACCAAGGATGCGGGGCGATACTTGTCTTCGGACTCAAGCGAAGCTTGCGAGTGGCTGCAGGCTTCCTCAGAGTCCAGCTTGAAGTCGAAGTATGACGCAGCCCTCCGCGTCATCAGCAGCTAGTAGGCCATGGCCGCCATGCTCGCTCGCAACGGCCCCATCTCTCTGGTTGTTGGCGCTAACGACTATTCGGCCCTGCGTGCGTTGTACCTCTTGTCTCGACAGTCGGATTTAAAAGCAGATCGGAGTTGCAGTGCATCCGCTTAAGAGTCATGGAACAAGAGCCATGATATGATGCTGATGTCGATGGTAGGAACGATGGAGACTGCGATGCTGGTGGTTTGTTGATCACTGAGCGGCTGTGGGAGGGCTGGCCAATCATGGCAGCCTTATTGTAGCGGTGATCTGCTCGGCCCGCTTAGTCACCGCTGATCGCACATGCCGAGTCAGGTGAGACTCTCCTTCTTTTCAGGCAGCAAGGCTACCGCAGTAACACCTCAGGCATCAATTCTATCCGCGCTCGGATCCAGCTCCCATGAGAGCACAATGATGTCCGAGGATGTCGTGCTTGATATTGATTTTGTAGTATAAATCTTTCTATTGAGAGGCAGAGAGTATACCATTCCCTCTGGCTACTATCTGGCCCGTTTCTGGTCCCCTGGTTGTCGTATGTCGCCTCCTTGTTCGCCCTATATATATTCAGCAAATGCCCCGGTCATCCAGATCAACCTCGATCATACCCCATGTTTGCGACGTGGAGGTTTGAATCGGTCGTGTACTGTACCCCTCAGACATCCTGGATCAGATACCAATACGCATGTCAATCCACTATTCATGTTGTCTGAGATTCTGATAAAGATAGCATGCTAGACCATGTGTTGTGACTGCCATCACGCAGCGCACATGGCTGTAGCAGCATGAATTAACACACCTAGACTCACACTAGTAGTTTATCCAGACTATTATACACGTACTTTTGCAACATTTTATAAGTTTAGGCGACGATTGCATCGCATCCCTGCGAAGCAAGAATATTCTCAAACAAGGCTCACGTTCTAGATATATACCACATCCCGAAACCAATCAATATGAACAAACAACCCGAACCAGCAGGTATCCCATCTCGAGCATATGTAGTCTCCAACAAATAGTATAAATACAGGCCCAACATCCTTCAAGATACTCTGTCGAGCCCACAGAATCTACCCCCTCATCACCCTCTCGGGCACCTTATACTCCGGCGGCACCACATACTCCCCCTTACAGCTTCCCACGGAGCATCTCTCCAACCCGCACCGCCCATATAGCCGACAATAACACTCCTGCGCACTGGGACATGCCACGCGATTCAGCCGATCCAGATCCACCAGCCCCGGGGCCAATTCTCCGTCGGGGCGGACGGCGCTCTGCTTCACGAACAGGATATGCCAGACATACGACAGGATGCGGCCGGCCACGCGATCGTCCGCCGGCGCCGGCATCGCTCCTCGACGGTTCGGGGCTCGCGCGTGCATGCCGTCCAGCAGCCACTGGCGCAGCGCGATGTACTCGTCCTGCGAGTGCTGCCAGACGTTGGCGCGGGCGACGACGAACTGGGCGCAGCACTGCGCGCGGACGGGGTCGTTGCGGCCGAGGAGGACCTGCGTCTGCGCGTGGGTCTCGTGGGCGCTGCGGCCGGGATGGCCGAACAGTGAGGCCAGCGCGCGCGGGAGTGCCACGTCCGAGGCCATGCGGGCGCTCCACGGCTCGAGGACGGATTGCAGGCGCAGCTCCAGGCTGCCCTGGGCGGGCTGGGTGGTCGGACACGTGCCCACGCTCCAGTCGCAGCGGAGGTTGTGGTACCCCCAGGGCTGCAGGGCGGATGTGAGGTTCAGCGCGGCCAGGAGCGCGGCGTTGTCGTACTCCCGGTGGTCGTTGTGCCAGGCCCAGCGCGAGCCGTGCACGAACACCATCCCCGCTGCCGGGAGGTGGTGGTAGTTGTCGATGAGAAAGGTCAGATACCCCATCGCCTCGTGGCCCCGGTTGGCCGGGACCTGGAGGTGGGTGGCCTCCGGGTTCTTCGGTGCTGCAGCATCTGCAGTGTAGATGCAGAGGTGGTACTGCTCGCGCAGCGCGTCAAGCCAGGCGGAGTCATCGCTGGTGACCCGCGAGACCACGAGGGCCGGCTTGTCAGTTTCCTCGAGTCCAGAACAGAGCCCTCGGGGTTCGGGGAACTGGGATGCGGTGGTCCGGTAGGTGACTTTGGTCCAGGCGAATGTCCGCCCGGGGGACGGGGGTTTGTTGAGGAAGAGAATGAGGCTCAGGATGCCGATGAAGAAGGCCAGTTGGATGACGCTCTTGCGCGTGCGTCGTCGCATCGTTGCTGATGCTGACAGCTAAACATTGATCGGAGGATGTCTCGCGCGACCTAATTGGCATCACCGCCGTTGGCTTGGCTTGACTCGATTGAAGCAATTCGGGAGCGCTGGAGAAAAGTGATTATTAATCGAGGGCCACTTTTCCGGGCCCCGCTGCGACCCGATAGGCGCGAGACCTGGGGGCAATCCATCGCTCCAGGGTCTCTTAATTTGAGAGATAAGGTAGATTTCATTATTTGCTGGTAGTTCACCTGATATGGAAATTCGTGTATAATTCATGTGCCAGGACTACAGAAGAACTGGTTCCGACCGGTAGTTATTCGGTTGACTCATGCGGGGTAGTCAACATTCCGCAATGCGCACTCGCAATCCACCTCCCGCAAGGGATGAATTAAATGATAAGATGGTAGGCATGTATAGGCTCTAGGCTCTCCTCTCAGAACGCCGGAAACGCCGCAAAATACACCTTGTAATATGACATCTTCCACTCGCCCGCCTGTTGGACCAGCTTCATGATGCCGCACCACTCCGGCGTGACACTGCGCCCGTCCTTGAGGTTGTAAGTGACGGCGCCTCGCGCCAGAAAGGTGTTGTTGCCCAGCGGATCGATCGAAACGACGTGGTGGCTGCGACTAGCGACGTAATCCCAGGTGGATGTGAACAGTTGGATCAAGCCTAGCGCAGGCAAATTAGCTGGGTCTTTGGACTTCGGTGTACGCCGGACGTACCTGGTCGGTCCGATACACCATGCTCCCCCATCTGCACGACCGCATCCGGGGTGAAAAAGTCGGCGATGGTCTCGACGGCCCCGTCGACGTCGACGGCGGTGTAGTAGTCCTGGATCCACTGTTTGATGGTGGCATCATTGAAGGATTCGGGGTAGGATGGTTGATGCATGGCGCGGTCCTGCGTTGGCGAGCAGGGGGGTTGAGTCTAGTCTAGTGAACATGTGAAGCTATCCGTGAGGAGTTCGGCTGCTGGAGCTCCGAGACGAACGAGTGAGAGGTATCAACTAGGCCATGTGCATCGGCGTCAAGGGCTCTTATGGCTGCCTGAGCGCCATTCCTGGTTTAGCGGATGCTTGCTCTGTTTCACCGAGAAAGGGAAAAGCAGAGCGAGATGCGCAGTTGGAGCAATGTGATAGATCGTGCAGTCGTTAGCGCCTGCCTTTCCCGATCGAGCATCGTTGGCGGCGCTTGCGTTAGGCAGTCGCTGCATACATGCAACATCAAGATCAAATCGGCAATTGGGAGCGACGGGATCTAGATGGTGGTTGAGATGTCGCATCGAGTAGATGAGGCTAGATGATGCTACTTGGTAGCTAGTGGCAAGATACACTGGAGCAGGAGGGTCAGCAATTGCACATCTAGCGCGTCGCTTACCGACAGCCAGCGCCGGGCTTGTTGTTCAGCCGCCACAATTGCTTGTCAAGATTGGCTGCAGCAGTCCCAATGACTGTCAATATCACATCGACGGTAAATTGCATATACGTTCAAGTGCCGGGACCGGCGAGAACACACTTCGCTTGAAGATAAGCGCCGCCTCCAGCATCGATAGTCCTACCGTCGTCGAAAGTGGCGCATGAATGTGTGCCGCCATAGCCCAGCCTCGTTGCTTATCACGACAATGTAACCACAAACCACAAACATTATCTCGTCACTCCACGCTCGTTCACACTGATACTACAAAGCAGCCCCTGTCACCTTATCAGCATCTGATCGACAGTTCATCATGGGTTCATGACCGTGTGGACCCAAGGGAATGTTTACCCCCGTCCATCATTCTCCGGGTGGAGCGATCGGCAGCGATCAGCAAGATGTTCGTCCTGTGCCACTATATCGCGATTGATGTACAGTACCAGTGTAGCTACCTGCATACAACATCAAGTAAACCAGAAAAATCCAGGATCGAACACCCCCAAGAGCTCAACTCAGCTCAAGCGGAGGCGCCCGCCTCCTAAGCCCGGCCACAAACCACCACCCACCACCGAACGCCACCGCAATAGTCCCGCCGTGTAGATAACGATAACGTCCTCATTCAGAAACCTCGAAGCCAGAAAAAGCCGCCGCAGTAAGAATCGACCGCAACACACAGCACGACCAACCCGCAAGGTCCCCAATCCCCCTCTTACCAACTCAAATACTGCTACTATCGTAGGGATTGACTTCTGCCATTCTTCTGCACCCCGTCGCAGCAGCCCAAACCGTCCCACCCACCGTAACACGAGCGAAACTCGAAACACAACCAATCTATGCAGGAATCTTGTTCCGAGACCCCCCCAAACTTTCCGAGCAACTATACAAGCTAGACTCTTTGTCTTTACGGGGCTTTGTCCGGCCCCCGGGAGCAGGTGGATTTGCAACTGCACGGGGAGGGAAGCAGGGGAGGGAGGGGCGATGTTGTGTTACCTGGACCACATGCCTGGGCAAACCTCTTCCTCACCTAGGAGTTACTTTCAGGCATTGGTACACAAAGAACTGTATTAAGTATGGGTATGGTATATTACTATCAAGTCATGTATGTACGGGTAACTCAGGTAAGCATCATCGACAACAGGCAGACCCAACAAGAACGGAGTAATTATAAGCGACAGGCGAACAGAACCACAATTAGCACCAAAAAAAAAAAGAACAAGAAAAAGAATCAAGACGCAAACCTAAGCATTCCAAGTGACAGCTGCCAACCCCACCAATCGCGGGCCGTGGCACGACTTCCCCTGTTACTATCAATGCCACTGGAAACTTTCATGGCCCTTGCATTTCCGAGCAACGGTCGAATTCTCCACAGCCCTAATCTAACTTCAGCTGTTCCGAGCGGTTCCCAGCTCAGCTCAGCTCGCTGGGGGTATTTCTCAAGAGTAAAAAAAAGAAACCAAGAACAACAGCGCGTGCATCAGGATTTGATGGCAGTCCCGCTCAACCTGCCCTCCGCCTGGAGATGATGCCACAAATCGCGACAGGCATCCTGCAACGAGCGCTCCGCCTTCCAGCCCAACTCCACGGCGGCGCGGTCGGCGATGGCGACACACGATTCCACATCGCCGGGGCGGCGGTCCGCCGTCCGTCGCGGGATGGGCTGGTGGCTGATGTGCTCCATGGTGGCGACGACCTCGGCGACCGAATGCCCGCAGCCCGTGCCCAGGTTGAAGGTGCGGAAGGGCTCGACGACGCGGCCCTCCTGCGCGGCCGCCAGCGCGGCGATGTGGCCGCGCGCCACGTCCGAGACGTGGATGAAGTCGCGGATCGCCGTGCCGTCCGGGGTCCTCCAGTCGTCGCCGTAGATCGACAGCTCCGGCAGCTCCCCCGTCAGCACCTTCACCACCACCGGCACCAGGTTCGACGGCGTGCCCCGCGGGTCCTCGGCCAGCAGACCCGACGCATCGCACCCGACCGGGTTAAAGTAGCGCAGCCCGATGATCGTCCACGACGGGTCCGACGCGGCCAGGTCCGACAGGATCGCCTCGCCGAAGAACTTGGTGCGTCCGTACGGGTTGGTGATCCCCGTGCAGCCTTGCTCGACGGCGACGAGCTCCTGTCCGTCCGCCGCGTAGTAGGCCTCTGGCCGGTGCACGCAGTGCTCCTCGCGGAGGGTGCGGTGGGTCGCCGAGAGGGTGCCGTAGACGTTGGCCGAGGAGGAGAAGATGAAGGTCTTGATGTCGTGCTCGTCCAGGAGGGCGACAAAGTCCACCAGCCCGCTGATGTTGTTCTGGTAGTACTTCAGGGGGTTGCGCAGGCTGTCATGCACCTCCTTGTACGCCGCGAAGTGGATCACGCCCGTGATGTTGGAGCGCGCGGGGATCCGGCTGGCAGCGTCGCCCTCCTCGTTCGTGCTGCTGCTGCTGCTGCTGCTGCTGCTGCTGCCACTCGCGTGCGTGGCCAGGAGGGTTCGCATCGCTTGCGAGTCGCGGTAGTCCATACACGCCAGTTCCGCCTGCGGACATTGGCGGCCCCGGCCCTCACGCTCGTAGTGCTGTTTGGCCGCTCGCACGATCCGGTCGTATACTTCCTTGTAGCTGTTGCTGAGATTGTCCACCAGCAGCACATTGTAGCCCGCCTTGAGCAGCTCCAGCGCCGTGTGGCTGCCGATGTAGCCCAGTCCCCCCGTGACGAGAATGTATTGCGCGGTGGCCGCACTGACGGCCGGCAGCGCAGCTAGGGCCAGTTCGAAGCAATCCTCATCGCGCTCCGTCTCCGGCGTGGATGGGGCGGAGAACAATGGAGTGGGCAGAGGGGAGCTGCCCTCGGACGGGGGGCAGGAGGAAGAGACAGTCATCGCAGCGAACGAGAATAAACGAAAGGAATTACGGAGGAGAATGGGCGATGGGCACCTACATAGAGAGAGACCGGGCGGGAAACAGAGGGTACCTGTAGTAGTAAAGACGACGCTTCCATCCTCCCTCCATCCCCTTACGGAATTCGGGAGGCAAGCGATGGGGATGCATCCAGCCCAGCGCCAGCATGATTTCATCGCCGAGTCATTGAGTCGAAAAAAGAAAAAGGTGTAAAAGAAAAAAAAAAAGAGAAAGAAAAAAAAAAATTGACCTAGCGGAGCAGTCCAGCGAGAGTCCGGCTCGGGTCTAGTAGCAGCAAGATCGCAATAGTATGGGAGTCAGCGTGGGTTCCTGGTGAAAATCCGTACACTAAACTACTACAACCAATACTACTACTAAGTACAGGGCAGGGCAAGGCAGGGTGTGGATGTTCAGTCTTGGAGAAGAAAGAGGGAGGGGAAAGTGGAGGGGTCCCGGAGACATCCACCCAGGGAATTTTTACGGTACCTGAATAGATTTCCTGTTTTGCATTCTCGTTTAAGGGACATCGTGGGTAATTCGATCCCTTCCATTGAATCAATGGAGTTTCCTGGCCATGGCCAAAAATAGGGCATTGGCGCCGGGTCTCACCCTCTGAGCAATGGACGAGGCAAATCCCGCAGCGGCTGATTCCATCCATGTCGTAAGTAGCTGCTTGGTTGTATTCGGTAGGGTTCTCGTCCGAAAAATGATGGCATTGCAGCTTGCATTCGCATATCAAGTGTCTTTAACCTGTGCTAGCGTGGCCTCCATTCTTCCTCAGGAAGACCCGAAGTGGTTCCTTGCCCCCCCCCAGTTGGTACCATTGGGAGAAGTTGGAGACCAGAAGAGGGGAGAGGAAGAAGGGCCCAGACTGTAAAGAGGGCTCCACCAGGATGAGAAAGCTGACTAGAGAGACTAAAATGTGACCGCAAAGAAACATGACCAACGCAGTAAGACAAAGGCGAGGACAGAGAGTCAAGGGAGCACCTTAGGCATGACTGTACTCCCTGCTATACTAAAGATTCTAAGCCAACGTCCGCCCCAAATGTCTCACTGGTGCAGCGACAACGCATCGCTATGATCCGTACGGAGCGTATTCCTGCACTTCCATCAGGCAACATGGCGTGCTTCCATGGATGTGGCGAAGAGATACATCGCTGTCCATCGTCATTACAGAGGACTTGGTTTTTGTCAGATGGACCGTCTCTCTGACGGGTCGGATCAATGAGCCAAATTGATACATCCCGAAAGGGCTCCATCCGGCTCCACCAACGCTAAAGCTTGGACATCCAAGCTACGACCTTTTGAGCGAAGCGAGTACCATATGGTTGAGGAAAAATACTGGGAATGGCGACTTATGGGCCATGGCTGGGAAAATGCTGGGTCCCGCTGGGTTTTTTTTACTCTCCCAGATCTCCACTGGTTCATGTTTCAACTTTCTTCCTAGTAACTACCTAACTACATAGCTAATTTACCGGTCGGACTCGACCAACCGCAGGGCGTCCATCATCATTCCCCAGCTCTGAGGTCCAAAGCGCTCGTAAAAATCACGTGCAATCTCGGTGACGAAGATGTAGGCAGCACGATGGCGCAATTCTTGGACCAGGGGACGCACCTCGTCGCGCGGCACCTCACTAATCATGTAGCCGCATTGGACTCGAGGATAGTCAAACTGCGCATAATAGCGCTGCACCTCGTCGGAGCGATAGCGAGGATAGGGCTCTTCGCAGACAAGGATGAGATCCGGGCTCGGATCGGCCAACTTAGGGTCAGGCGGCGTGCCCGGGTTGTGGACAACCTATCAGTATGAAAGGATGGTAAGAAATTGGCTCGGGAAACAACTAAGACTTATTCGTCTGGTTTCACTGATAAGACAAATGACAGTCCGTGATAAAGGACCGTGCCAATGCCACACGGGATGATAGTGTAGTGTAGTGTAGTGTAGTGTAGTGTAGTGTAGGTGGTGAAGTGTAAGAGTACGGAAATAGTTACTGTGTTTGTGACCCGATTGTACGGTATCATGGATCATGGATCCGTGATGTACATACAGGCAAACAAACGAGTACAGTACGGAGGGGACGGCGGAGAATGCAGTGAGATGAGATGCTTACCAATCGATCCCGAAGAATGCCCTCCACGGATTTGACATACTCGTGCAGTTTCTGTAGATACTCGGCTCGCTCGGCAGTATGATGGTTAGGAGTCTCGTCGACCATAATGCCCCCTAGCCCTAGTCCTGGGCGCTCGTCGGTCGCCCAGTGCGCATAGCGATCGATTTCCGCCAAGGTCTCGGGCAAAGGCTTTCGGCAATAGTCAATACGGATGTAACCGATCAGGTAAACATTCGGATAGCTGTTCAGACGGGCCACTTCGCGTGCATAATTCGGATCGGGAGAAGGTATGTCCCCGGGGCCACTGTTGGGGTTGATGATCACCAGAAATTCCACATCGGGATGGGTCTCAATCCTAGTGGTGATCGATGGTTAAGTTAGAGAGTGGGTAAATCATCCAAAGAACACTCAACCGTGGCGGAGAAAATGAATTCCAGTCCCGATGATGCAGGAACCAAGAGAACAGCGAAAATACAACCAAGGAAAAACTAATCCATTGGAATGGGGCCGCGGTGCTTAGGCGAAGGGTGTCATCAAAGCCAAAAAAACGAGAAAAAAAAAAGAATCAAGGGCAAAAAAAAGGAAAGGAAAACGGAGAACTTTACGCGTCAAAAAGTGGATCCCAGTCATTAGGCAATGGATAGATATACAAAGGTACCAGCACGCTAGCTTTGGGAAGGGGCGTGGATGACATGGTTGGCAGAGAGCGTAAGAGTGGGAGAGAAGACAGTGCAGGATAAGGTGCAGGTACAGGAACAGAGGAGTAATCAGAATTGGCGGGAATGGGAGGGGGGGGGGGGAGAGGGGAAGAAAATGATGATGATGATGCCGTGATAAACCAGGTTTATTTGTCAGTGTTCCTGGTTCAGCTTCTTATAACTAGGACGATTATTAAACTTCCAGGGAACGCGATTACGAGAAAGGAAGGAGAGACAGACTGCCGCCAGTGAGGTACAGTACGGAGTAGGAGATTAGGAAAATAGGAGATTAGGAGGATTTTCTAAGTCATTCAAGGACGGGAGACAGAGAGACAACGTGGTTGAGGAAAAGAGAACCTTGGGAGGCTTGTGAAAAGCTTTCAGCCTACCTGTCAGCCAAGACTCGGCACTCAACTCCCAGGCAGCCACCAGAAAAACCATGACGATGACAAGACATGAGAATGAGATTATTAGTGAGTAAAACATTGAAGAGGACCGTGCTAGTGCGCCTCTAGTGCGCCTCTAGTGCGCTTAGTCCTCATAGTCCGCAACGCTATCATGTTTTCCGTCGATTCCGTTGATTCCGTTCCTGTCGTGCCTTGGGCCAGAACCTGCCAACCCACCACCTATCTAGTACGTGTCTACTGACCTACTCACTCAGCCCCCCCCCCATTAACCACTTCAACTGACCAATTCAATTGCATCCAAGCTTTTCTACCCCCCTGTCCACCATATCTCTCGCCAATCATCATTAGTGACGACGCTTCCCGTCTCATCGTCTTCCCAAGGCTGTGGTGGGGCTCGCCTAGGGCCGCCGGCCTACTCGTGGGTCGATCGACACAATTCGCTCTCTCACAGACTCACATTCTCTCACACACACGCTGCTCAGTGCGTGATTGCTTGGATCTATCGATTAACTCGGCATCAGGTCGATAATCGTGGGCCCCGCTGGGTCAAAACTCTCGTAGTAATCTTCCGTCAACGTCGTCAGGAACAAGTACTCGGCTTTCAGACTCAATTGGTCCACCAGGCTCCGCAGAGTACTGTTCCCCATCTCGGGGACCGAATGCAGCATGTAGCTGTAGCCGGTACGGTCGGACGCCAGCGCATTGAGCTTGCCTTTCTGGGTGTGGTAATCATCGTACGAACTCTCAAATACCACAGTGACGTCGGTTGTGTTGGCGTTATAGCGACTATCCGGAATGGTGCCGGGATTGTGGATAACCTGAGAAAAACCCAGGGTGTGGGACGTTAGCCGCTGGATCTGTCCCAGAGAAAAAAAGAATCGAAAAAATAGAAACCAAAATCTTGGTTCCATCGATCCCCAAACCCCTCACCCCTCGTGCCTGGATTTCTTCTTCTTACCATTCGTTCCCCTTGCAGCCCCGTGGAATTCTTCACCACCGCGTTGATGGTGTTCATATACTCGACCTTGTCCGCCGAGTAAACGTAGGGCGCTTCATCAAAGAAAATCCCATCCATAGCTAATCCAGCCGACTGGTTCGCCCACCCCGCATAGGTTGATACATCGGCTAACACCGAGGAGATGTTGCGGGTCGCGTATCCAGTGCGCACATATCCCACCCGGCGAACGTTCGCGTAGCTCGCGAGGCGTTCGACCTCGGTGCTATACGCTTCATCTGGATACGTGGTGTTCCCCGGTCCACTTGAGGGATTGATGATCACCGTGAAATTTAGATCGGGGCGCTCAGTGATTCTGGGGCGGAGGGTCAATGAGGGTCTAGGGTCTAGAAGAGAGGGAAGAAAAACGAAAGAAGCAGACAGGCCACAACTCACTCCTTGTACAAGGGACTCCAGGTGCTGCTGTTGGTAGGGTAGATGTACAAAGGGTACAGCACGTTGGTCTGCTTCGCGTGATGCTTCTTTCGGGTCAAGATGACGGCACATGGCACCACAATGACCACGATCACCACTACGGCCACCGCAATGGCAATGGCAATGCACCAGGGCCGCCGCGGGCGATTAAGATTTGGGCGAGGCATCCATGCACCAGCTAGCCAGAACCGTGGGGAAACGAAACAGAAGTACGGAGTAGTTTTTCAGGGAGCAGAAAGGAGACTGGATTGGCTTCAGGGTTCGTAGGTGTGGTTTTCTTGGGGGTTGGGAGAGATGGCAGGCACACTGCGCAGGTTATAATAACGGTGGAATCCAAATCCAGACCCGTTCGTGAGAGGGCTAGCCTAGCTTCCGACCTCAGAATGGCGGAAGAAATTTCTTTGTAGACGAGAATGCGATGGTGCTCGGCGTTACCTGTGCGGCGTTGGCGGTCATGGCATCCAAACATTCGACTGAGACATCCCATCGCCATCGCTCGATCGCAGTGGCTAATATTCTTAGGTTCAACGACGTGACACCGGCACGCAAGAAGGATGATAAGAGACCCGTAATTTCTGGTCGAGTCAGACATGCAGTCCACCTATTGCTAGCGTTCTTTTGGGGCCACTAGCCTGGCGCTGGAGGAGATTTGTTGGCAGCACGTCCTGGGAGTGGGAGAGAAAATAACTGGGGCTCCCGAACCAGATAGAGTAGCGAATTGGATCACTCTCCAAAAAAAAAAAATAAAATAAAATAATAAATAATCATCTAAACAGGGAACCAGAAAAAAAAACAGACCCTAAAAATGAAAATAAGATCCAGACAATATTACAGTACACTACAGCTTACATTCATTGATTCAAACAAGCCAGCCTTTAGATCCTTCTTGTTGCGGGCACGCCGCCGCCATAGATAGATAGCCATGTACCTGCTATAAATAGGGTAAATTAAAAGTATTAGAGAGGCTGATACTCCTCCCCTGGTACCTCGCGAGTGGGATACGTGGGCTGTAGTCGTTACATTCGTTTTAATCGGCCTCCATCTAGAGTCGCCGCAGATAATAGTCCACGGTGCCCCCCTTGTGGTGAGGAAAGGGTTTATGTCAGGCACTTGACGCTGTTCCTATCACCATGGCAGGTCCCGAGTACCTGGGCCTCGATGCCGTAGGATGGAATCGCATGACATCGACCTGGTGGGATAAGGTGCGTGGTTGCTCAGATGGTCGCGACGGGCCCTTGAATCTCTTCCCTAACGTTGTTTGCGCAGGTTCTAGCATTCTGCTTACTAGCCACGATCGTTCTTGGTTCACTCTTTATTCTGGGTTACATTGTGTTAAAGCTCCATGGGATTTGGCAGGTATGTGTTTCTTCGCAATCTTCTAATACACTGATGCCAAGCCACCCTGCTCATCTTTCCTCAGAAACGTCATCAACTCTCCGAGGTCCCAAGTGCCATTGTACGCTACTTCGATCAGCTGAAGACTGGAAAGTCTTCTTCACCCTTGTCCGAGAAATCGGCCAAACGCGACCTCAAATCTTTCGGTGTGTTCCTGGGGGATTTCTCGAACCCACCTACTCCAGCGGAGGCACAACTACTTTCGCAATGGGATGTTCTTGTCGTCGACCCCCTTCAACCGGGAGTCGCGAATGCTCTCACCGGCCACTGCACCTCTCCACATGTTCTCGGCCGGCTCGAAGTACAAAGCCTGGTGCAATCGGATGCGAGTCGCAGCAACGACGAAGTTATCCAAGCTCTGACCACGGTGGTGCAGACCCTGACAACGAAATTCCAGCGCCAACCGGGAGGATCAACTGCTCCTTTCCACGGCGTGCTCCTAGCCGAGTTCCACGCCCACTTCCAGCCCGTCGTTCTGAACGAGCTCATCAAGTATATCAATGACCTGGGACTAGACGTCTGGCTCGAGCTGGCCCCGCCAGATTATCTTGGGGAGAAGCAATGCCGCGAGATCAACATGCAGCAGGTGCGGGGAATTGTCTATCGCAACGGCACCATCCTACCAGATGGAGACCGACGCAACTACTTCCAGATGGCGGAGATGCGGGCTGCGATGCGTGTGGTGGCGGCGCAAAAGGCTCGGGGAGATTCGACTCTAGCGATGTGGGACAGTGTCGATGATGGAGTGACAGTGTCGCACCATGTCATTGGGCGCACGTTCAAATGGTGCAACTACAACAGTGCAATGATCTACATCGGACCTCGGGCAGGATTGACCAACGCGGAGATTGCCGTGGCTGAAACGGTTCTGCATGAACCTCTCGGGGCGATGATGTGGCTGAAGCGCGGCGAGGTGCTCGAAGCACATGACGTATGGCGCAACAACAACCGAATCTCCATCTCCCCAACATCATCAACATCTCCTCTCTTCGACGCCCTCGATTCCTTCATTCCCGATCTCAACACCAAACTGTCTCTGCAGCCCCCCTCAACTACCAGTCTTACTCTTCCAAGTCCTGGTTTGTCCGTCAATGGTCTTGAATGCAGGGTTGCCGACGAAAATCCTCACATCGATCCTCTGTCGTTTTCCCCCGATGGCGCCACCTACTCGGAACTCGGATGTTTTCATCTCGGCTTGGACTGTACCTCACAAAACATCACCGATGTTCTCGAAACCCAGCGCCATCTGCGAGACTTGGACCTGCTCGAACGCCTCAAGCCGGACCAGCTTCGGGGTTTCGCCGCTTCAATCCGCACTCTCCAGAACGCACAGGATACCTATCCCGACCTCTCCGATGCCATTGCAGCCACTAAAGAGCTTGTTGACCTCCTGAGTGTCAGCAAAGGTGATGACAATGACCGCCTCCGAGTCTACGTTGGGCTGCACTCTGGCTTCCGCACGCGTCTGGGCACTCAAGTCTGGGGTTTGCTCGATCTCGATCCCCACATTGGTATGCTGAACCTTTATGTCAACGGCAAGACGCTGGACCGCACTGGAACCATTTTGCACGCCTATCTCTCCGGTCGCGGATTCAGCCGCACTCAGTGTCTGATTATGGAAATGGTCTTGGCCGCTGAGAACCAGTCTCTGTCCAAGGACTGGAATATGCCTCAGCGGTGGGTCGAAGACATCGAACAGCTCACCCCCGCTGAAAATCTTGCTTGGCATCGGCGCTTGGCCGCATCTGAGGGCAGTGGCTCTTCCATGCTCTGTGCGAAGCTGCGGGCCTGTAGTGAGTACCAGCTCGTGGACGCGCCTTCTCACGCCCAGCGCCGAGCCTTGACCTCCAGCGCGTACCTCGATGAGGAGATTTCCGCTGCAGAACTCGTCGCCTCTCGGTTGGCATGGTACCAGGAACAAGGATGCTGGTCTTTGGATCCCGAGGTCGCCACGGCACTGTTCCTGGAGATTGATGCTCGGTTGCCTGAAGTCTTGGTTGACAACGAGGCGGATATCCTAGCAAGGCTTCAGGATGTGGCGCAGACCACTCTCCAGAAAGGTCGGATTGATGCGAGTGCGGACTTCTTCGCCCTTTGTATCTTCTGCGCCTTCCGTCGCCTGGCATTGAATGAGATCTACTTGGAAGTTCTGGACCGGAATCCCCTGCCGAATCAGGATGCAGTGCAGGCCTCGTGTTTTACCGAGATGTATGCCTGTGGTGCGCGCACTGACATGTACTTCGACACGACTCCTAAGCGACTGGGAAAGATTATCTGGAAATGGTACCGGGCATATTATCACAAGTACCAACCACCCCAACGGGAGGAAGGCTTCACAGAGCTTCCCACAGCATACGCTTCCATGAATGTCGATCTCGATCCTAAAGGCGACCGAAATAATATTCCCTGGCATTATAGGTTCACCTTCTTGGGTATTTTTGCCGTTCCCGCGCTGATTGATGTCACAATGCTCACCACCGTCGGCCGTGGTCTTTACCTTACCACGTACATGAGCGACGTGGACAAGACGCTGGCCACCACCGCCCTGATGTGCGCCCTGCTTGTCTGTGGTGGCTTCGGCAGTTGGATCAGCTCTGGCGGTAGCTACTATCTCTACGCGATGGCCTTCCCTGCCATGAGCATGTTCGTCTTGACCCGGTTCGTTGCTGGTCTTGCGGTCGCTCTGGTTGGAGGCATCATCGCACTTATTGTTGTCGGTGTGGTCAAGGGAGGTGCAGCTGGAATTCTGTTCTTCCTTTACTTCGTGATGCTTTCAACGTATCTTATGACTCTTTCCGCCCTCTCAGTCTACCAGCTTCCAGGCTATTCCTTCCAATCGGTAAGTTCTCATCAAGCCGAGAATGATGACGAATGTACCTAACATTTCCAGGGACGAACTGTGATCATGACGTGTATTCCGATCCTGTTCATTTCACCCATCGTCACTTTGTGGGTGCATCACGATTCGGTCATCTATCTCTGCTTCCTTTTCCTGTTCCTAGGCTCGTTGCTGGTTGGCGCGCGGCGCATCATGGGTGAATGGAACAGCTGGTATCTCAACATCCCCACAGTGACCGACACCCAAATCGTCGAATGGTACTTGCAAAAATGCGTCCCCCCCAGCGAGAGTCAGAACGAGAAGGTCAAAGACTTCGGATCGGATGCACGCCAGGCCTTATATGCTCGCGTCAAGAAAGAGCGACACCGCCACTTCTGGACCCGGAAGACAACCGATCCGTTTGTCGCAAAGCTCGCTGGCGGCTACTCAGCGACCGTCTTTCTTCTCGGCTGGTACTGCCGCTACTCTCGGACGAAGATGCCCCTGCCCTACAGCCCAACATGGAACTTGCAATTGAGAGCTGCAGTCGACACTATGGGCGAGATGCAGAAAGGTCTCAAGCTCCATAGCGCCTTTCTACACTGGCGTCATACGGGTGCAGACGTCTGGTGTGGTATCCTGTACTTTGTGGTTGCCCTTTCCGACAAGTGGAGTGCTCTCTTGACGGGCGAATCCATCGTGGGATTGTCCGCAGCAAACAGCGCTACATATCGACTCACTGTTGGTTTTGCGCTCGGCTACTACTTGTTAGGTGCAGTCATCCTTGACGCGGTCTCTCAGCCTCTCTGGATATCGGTCACCAAGCGCACGCCCCAGCCCGTCTCTTCGCTCGCTGGTCTACGTGAGGTGTCCCTCACTGATGCTAACGCACGTCGGAGGTTGTATTGGAAGAACCTGATGAAGTTTTTCTTCCTCCACATTTGGGGTGTAGCGATCACGCTGGCCATCATGTGGACATTTGAAACTGCCAAAATCTCGGTCATAATGTTCCTGGCCTATGTTGGCTGCTACAGTGGTCTTCTCTGGTACCAATACAACCGGATCTTCAGCGGACCTCATGTAGCCCGTGGGCTAGCTATCAGCGCCCTGATCGGCTTAGTCGTTGGCATCATCCTTCATGAGGTCCTTCCCGCTTTCCAATACAGCAGTGTTATCGGGCTGGGCAGTGGAACGTGGGCCTGTGCATTCTACACACTCTACAAAGCCGATATTGGCTTGTCGCTGTTCAAGAGTTCTCCCGAGGAGAAGAGTGTTGTCAAGATCAAGGACACTTCAGTCACCTACGGCTTCAGCTCCCTCGAACCTTTCCCTGACCTGTCGCAGTCCACACTTTCTCAAATGTTTGACAACATCACTTTACTTTCGGACGAATTCCGGTACAAGCTTGACCCATCAACTCATCCAGGTGTAGAGGTTATGCAGATTCTGCGCTCTGAAGACCCCAAAGCTGATCTTGTCCGGGCTGCATTCCCCGCTGCAACAAATATTATGAACCACGCAGCACAGCTTTGGGAGAGCGGAGAGACGACAGTGGAGTTAGTCTCGGCTGCCCACTTGATCCAGCCTGAGCAGAAGGTTCGTGTTGTCTGTCGTCGTACCGGCGAGCGTCTCCACATTTATGTTGTTGTCGGTCCCGACCTTGTCGGCTATGACTGGGTCTCGGATATCCGACGCAACTGCCAGGCTATTGCGGAGGCTATCGTTCAGATGACTGCCGAGTTCCGTCTTGGTATGTCTCATGATCACGCAATGTTTGCTGAGCTTCTGGCTGTACATGGGCACGCTGGCCACGAATTGGTCCTTCCCGAAGGTGTCAAGCGTCAGCTCGAGAATAGTTCCGTGGAACGAACTCGCGTGCTGAACTACTCTTCCAAGACGATTCTCCGTCACTTGCTGCTTGGCGTTGACTGTGATATCGAATGGGATCTGTTGCCTCAGTATGCTCGATCGTTCCTGCTTCGCAGGTGCTTGGGGGAGCCGTGTCGCGTTTCTTCCCAGCAACTCGATTGGCTCGAGTCCAGAGCGAATGCTGCAGAAATACTTCGACTTGAGGAGTACCTTGCTCGCTGGAACCTGGGTGTCACAATGACAACTTCTGTCACAAAATATGCAAAGACACTGGAGGCCCAACACCGGGGTCTTGAGCAAGAAGGCTTCCTCAGCAACAGATACGACAGGCCCATCCGGGACATCCTCGCGTTGAATGCGGAAGAGTCGAATGTGGGGATGGGCGAGGCTTTCCGCATGTCACTTGCTCGGACGAAGCAAATCTGGAACGCATGCATCAAGTTCATGGTTATCGCTTTGGTTGCTGATCCCGAGTACCAACGAGAGCTTGATTTCATGCTTCGAGGACAGCCCCTGTTTTTCGCCTGGCCGGTAACTGTCATTCTCACTGCTGTGTGGCAATTCTGTAAGATCCTGCAGCGCATCATCATTCCACTCGTCCTGGTAAGACAAATTCATCTTGTCCCACAAGGGGGTTCAGTTATGATGCTAACATTCAATAGGTGCATGGTCGCGATAAGGTCTCCACCCTGTATCGAAACATGCAAGGTTGGAAGACTGTGATCTATCACAATCGTGTGGAAATGGAAGGCCTCAGCGGCGTTTCTACAGGCTTCTTCCGGACCGAATCAGACGGCACGTTCAAACTCTATCAATACACCGGAAAGCACGACCAGGAACCTAGTGACTACAAGAGCCTGGTTGCCATCAACGAGTACAACGCCAAGCTGTTGCTCCTGGGACGACAAGAGTATCGTGGTCAGGACCTGATCAACGAATTCAAATATGAGTATGCTCAGGACGGATCCAAGTCACGCTCCAAATTGCCTATTCAACGGCAGTGTACCCAAGGCAAACTGGAAGGCCAGATCGTCCAATACGACAAGCGTGGATATATCACTTCCGGATCTGCCATGCGTGGGGTCAACGCGATGGAGTTCAAGTTCTACTACCGCAAGGGAGCCAAATTCGACGACGAACTGCTGCGCGCTGAGTATGAGTTGCCACACATGAAGATCAAGGTTGCCTGGTGTATGCCGCCGCCTAATCGTCCTGAACGGCTGGATAAGTGGATCCCGTATCCTCGCGTCACAGATGCCACCTACGTCCAAGGTGACGACAAGCATAGAGCTACATGGACGTATGATCACAAGTTCCACCCTATAATTGCTACAACGATGAACGGGGAGGACGTTGTTACCCCGGCCATGATTCAAGAGGACTGGTTCCATGTTCTAGAGAAACCAACCAGGTGCAGCTTCGTGGACGACGACCCGCTTCTCTCCTTCTCCTCCGTGAAGGTGAACCTCGCCTCGCGTCTGCTCGGAACTAACGTCAAGAAGTATCCCATCCCTACCTCGCGCGCTCGTACACATCTCTGGAAATCCTGGAAAGCGAGCAAAGAATTCGATGCTATCACCGCGCGATGGCTGGATGAGATCTTGTTGCGTGCTGATCGTGTCCTCAAGCCCTACTGGCGCAACCGTGACTGGGGTCGGCTGGAAGTGGCCGGCGACTACCTTGAGGCACGGGCCGATACGGTGCTGGCGCGTGTCGATATCGATCCGGAGATCAGCTCGTGGACGCCGATCGCCTTCAAGATTGCGGATCTGTCGAGTTTCGGCGTGGGCGGAGAATCTCGTATCAACACCCGAACTCTATCCACGCAGATGCAGGACACGGACACGGAGCTTCATGTTCTTGCCATGGACACCGGTACATGGCCCAATGAGCCAGGTGGTGTTTCCGCCTGTAGGCGAGATATGGTCAACGACTTGAAGGGAATTCGCTGGCACATTCTTGCCGAAGCCGCCAACGACTTTGGTGTGCCGAGGTTCCAGATCGAGCGAAACGTGCAGTCCCTGACGGTCTTGCCGCAATGGGGTCTTGACTTCTTGAACCCGACGCACGGCATGTTCCAGAACTACCTTGATTCAGAAGTGGTCCAGAAGATTCATGACACCAAGGTTGCGGACATCGAGCGCAACTTCATTCCTATTCTCGCCAGCCTGGTTCGGTGTGCCCGGACAATCAACAAGACACGTGCGCATGTTGAAGAAGCCACCAAAGCCTTGGTTGACCTGAACACGTACTTTGAATCTTCGCGCAACTGGAACGATGTCTGGATGAGTGACACCGTCAAGCGCGCTTGGCGCGAGCTTTGGCTGACTGAGGAAATGGACGGCGCTATTCCTGTCTCCGAATGGTGGCATGCCGAGTTGCCGACTCTACAACAGCTGGATACAGCTCTCGACATGTGGCATCGCTGTAAGTAACCTTCTGGCTGTCTTCCAACGCACAGATCACTAACCATCTTCTAGATCTCTTCATCTTCTCCGTCCCTGTCCCCGACCGCATTCCGGACGTGTTCCAAGCATCGCACCATTTCACGGGTGCCAACTACGGTGTGCTCTGCAAGGTCAAGCGCAAGTGTGCACTCCATGTTTGGGATCACTGCGTCAGTTTCCGTGAGATGACTACCTTCCTCTCCGCGGCCGTGTCATTCGACTCCACCTTTGTCAATTCCACCCTCATCTCTCTCGGCCATCTGTCCTGCGTTCTCATCGAACACCATGCGGACGTTGTCCTCCCTTGCGCCGAGTACTTCAACCCTGGATGGGAGATCGAACTGGGAACGTGTGAGGGTGTCTTGGAGCATCGCCGGGCCTTTGCACGCAAGATCGATCCGGTGGTCAACGGTATCACGAACATGGAGAGGTACAAACCGATCGAGAAGATCAAGACGGAGACACCCACTGTGGTCATGTTGTCGCATATTCGGTAAGTCTCCCTTCCACGGGTCTGGCACTAATATTGGAGGGGATCATGTTAACGCGACACGCAGTTACGTCAAGGATATCAAGACGGCCATCATGGCCACGGACTTGATTGTCAACCAATGGGGCTTCAAGGACTATCGCCTGCACATCTACGGAGATATGGAGCGTGCGCCAGGCTACGCCTCGGAATGTCAAGAAGTCATCGCATCGAAGTCCCTGCGCGACCACGTCGTGTTGAAGGGTCTGGGCAAGCCGGATGTGGTGTTACAGGATGCTGTGAGTATTTTCCCTTTCGCGTAAATCTTTTAGCCCCAACAACATCACTAACCGTCCGCCCCAGTGGCTGTTCATGAACTCGTCGACCTCAGAAGGTCTACCGCTCGCCATGGGTGAAGCCGCCCTCACCGGCGCGCCCGTGGTGTGTACCGACGTCGGCGCGTCGTTCTGTGTGGTCGTCAACCGCGAGACCGGCAAACGGTTCAGCGAGGTCGTCCCCCCGAACGACGCCTTCTCCCTGGCATCCGCCCAGATCCGCGTGATGGCCCTCCTCGGTGAATGGAGCCAATTCGCCGGCGACCCGGAGGGCTTTGTGCCCCCGACGCTGGGCCTGCGCCCGTCCCCCGAGGAGGTGCAGGCGATCTCGCAGCGCATGTACGCTAAGCAGGAGGAGCGCCGCCAGTTCGGCATGCAGGGCCGCGACAACGTCCTGGCCAGCTTCTCCAGCCATCGGTACCTCCGCGAACACGAGCAGATGCTGTGGCTGGGCAAGTACCAGAGTCTCAGCTACTTCGCGCACGGCCCGGCCTCGATGAGCGGCTCGTCTAGTGGCTTCTTCAAGGACACCAAGGGCCGCGTGACCGTCGAACAGGTCGGAGATGCCCTGCTCCCGCCCACGCCCCCGTGGATGGGCGGTTCCCGGCGGACTCGCGGCAAACGCTTTGAGAGGTTCAGTTCGACTAGCACGCAGTCCCTCGCTTAGGTGGTTTTTTTTTTGTGTTGCGTTGCATTGCATTGCATCAAGGTGGATGGATCTCATGATTGCACTTGCTTTAGTTGTGGAGATTTGTAAATACGGGCCATCTATACGGTTCTGGTCTTAATTAGCATAATCATAATTTACGATTGGGTATTTACAAGAACCCTCGTGACGAGAAACTGGCTGTCTTTCCTGGTATTGAACACGTTATCGGAGACTTGGAACCGGGGGCAGAGTCAGTAATTTCACCATCGGTTGTAATATGTGCTCCGTAGGGCCGAGTGGCTAGTTGCTTATGTATGTGACACCATTGCTTATCAGTTGGCCGTGCCCCTTTGACCGTCTCTTACTCTTCTTGATTCTGCCTGCCCAGTATCCTGATACGATGACTGGGTGGCAGATATTGCATGGCCTCCGAGTTGCGTACCAAAGTCCGACGGGCTGGTCGATTGATTCTCAAGCCTGCGAAGGTGCGCCGTAGCTTGACCACCCACATTGGGTGGGGATCAGGGCGAGTTGACCAGTTCTATTTATCTCCCAAGTTGGCGGTCTAGTCGAGCTTGCTCCTCATGCGATCGTAGTTCACGACTGACTCCAGCAGCGTTTGCGTTCCCAGGGCACTGCAGGGTATCAGCTAAGTCCGACCTGACCGAAACACAGAGCAACCAGCACTTACCAGTCCTCAGGTTTGCAGTACTCCTCCGGATGATGGCTGACGCCCTCCTTACAGGGCACGAAGATCATGGCCGTGGGGCAGTGTCGGCTCGTGTAGACGCTGTCATGGCCCGCGCCGCTGGTGATCTCCAGCCAGCCGTCGGCGCCGACGAGCTGCGTCGCCGCCTCCTTGACGGCCGTCAGGCAGTTGGCATCGAACTGCACGGCGGGCGAATCGGTATCCAGTGTCCACTCGAAGGCGACGCCCTTGCCGTCCTCGCGCGCGATCTCGTTGAAGGCGGCCAGACATTCGTCCTGCACGGCGTGCACGACGCGGTCGCGCGGGTGCCGGATGTCCAGCGTGAAGGTCACCTCCGCGGCGACGGTGTTCGTGGACGAGGTCGGCGGCAGCTTCAGCACCCCTGTCGACGCGAGTGCCCCGTGTCGCCGGGCCACGGTGTTCGACGCCGCGATCATCTTCGCCGCCGCGAGGACCGGGTCGCGCCGCGCGCTGAGCGGCGTCGTGCCCGTGTGTGCGTCGCGGCCGGCCACCTTGATCGTCAGCCACCGATATCCCTGCGCTCCGGTCACGGCGCCGATCTTCCGGTTGGCTTCCTCCAGAATGGGGCCCTGTTCGATGTGCAGCTCGAAGTGCGCCCCGAGTGGGTAGCCCCTTGGCGAACAGGGGGTGTCGCCCAGGAAACCGTGGCGCTCCAGCTCGGAGCGTAGTGTCACGGCGGGGTCGAAGATATCCGCCAGTTTCCAGGCGTTTTGGATGGGGATCTCGCCGGCCCAGACGCCGGAGGAGCACATGGATTTCGGGAATCGGGCCCCCTCCTCGCTGTGATGCGTTAGATCGAGTCATGGTGTGGGGAGCGGCATCGATTGGTGTGCTGTGCTGTACTCACTTGGTCCAGTTCACCAGTCCGACGTCGAATTGGGTCTGGTAGCCGTGGTCTTTCATCGTGCGCAGCACCTCTAACGCGGCGATGACGCCCAGAATGCCGTCGTACCGACCCCCGCGCGGTTGCGTGTCGAGGTGACTGCCCATTGCTGTCATGGGCGCCGAGGAGTTGAGAGACCCACGTTGTCGTGCGAACATGTTGCCCATCTGGTCGATGGTGATGGTGCAGCCCAGCTTCTCGGCTTCGTCCAGCAGCCACCGGCGGACTCGGGCGTCGTCATCTGTCAGGCATAGTCGGTTCATGCCGGTTTCCGTGGGGCCGCTATCACTGTGTCAGAGATGCTCATACTCGACAAGTCGAAAAGTCTGTTATGATACTCACTCGCCATATCGATGAGCTGCGCCCCATTGGCAGGTGTGATGGAGAGTTTCCAGCAGGCGATCGGAATTGATCTTCAAGCCGGAACCGGCGTGCGAAGACAGCTGCCGCCGGAAGCTCGTCGCGGTCAACCCCCGAGAAGAAAATGAGGGCTTGAACATGATTGTGTTGGCTCTGAGCGACGGCGGATAGGATTTCAACTGACAGCGCCGATAATGGGCAATTCGATGGTGAGGTTGGTGGAGGCTGGATGGCTTCAAATATTGGAAGCTGGTCGCCGACCGTAGAACAATTGCGCCTTCCCGCGACCGGCGCCTTCTTGCGACAATCCGCTTCTCCTCCACATACCCACACAAATTGTGGAGATTGAGAGGGCAGAAAGAGAAAAACAACTGGAACAAAACAAAAAAATTGAAGAGTGGCCTTTTTTCAATGGAGCCGAAGAGAAGGATTCAATGCCGAGATGCACATGTTGTCAAAAGGCGCAGAGTAACCGCCAGCCGGGCCGAAGCATTTATTAGAAAGCCAACAACCGCCGCCTCGCATCAACCTAACTGCAACAAGTGCACTTTATCAACATGGCACCTCAACGGCGATCCATCTACATCAATTCTGCTCCTTCGACGATAGTGTCGCCGCCCGCGGCCCAAGTCCGGGCTTTTCATGAGCAGTTCCCTGGATACCAGGCCAGTCCTCTGGTGCCCTTGCCCGAAGTCGCGCAGGCACTCGGCGTCCGTGCAGTGTATGCCAAACAAGAAAACAATCGTTATGGCCTACCCTCCTTCAAAGTTTTGGGAGCCTCATGGGCCATTTACCGGGCGCTTCTGGCACTCCTCGACCTCCCCCTTGAAACCTCCTTAAAAACCCTCACGGAGCGCATCCGGGCGGGCGAGCCTTTCACGTTGATGGCCGCCACGGAGGGAAACCACGGTCGCGCAGTGGCCTGGGTGGCTCGTCAACTATCTCTACAAGCACGCATCTATGTCCCTCGCACGATGGTCGCGTACACCCAGGAAATGATCCGGTCGGAGGGTGCGGATGTTATCGTAGCCGATGGGGACTATGACTATGCCGTGCTGGAGGCCGCCAAGGCATCGCAAGCGACGGAAAACGCAATCCTAGTACAAGACACGGCTTTTGAAGGCTATGAGGAGATCCCTGCCTGGATTGTGGAGGGCTACTCCACGTTGATGCACGAGGTAGATGTGCAGCTACAGGCGCTGGGTCAGCAAAATACCCTGGTCGTTTCGCCTGCGGGCGTCGGATCGCTGGCTCAAGCGGTCGCGATTTATTCCAAGTCGCGCACAAGCCCAGCGACTTTCGTGGCTGTCGAGCCGGACACTGCTGCTTGTCTGAACCTGAGCCTCAAAACAGGCGAGTCGACCTCGATCGTCACTAGTCCCAGTATCATGGCCGGCATGAACTGCGGCACTGTGTCCTCCGCCGCCTGGCCGGTTCTGCAGAAACTTGTCGACGCCAGTGTCACAATTTCGGATTATGAGAGCCACTGCGCCGTCCAGTACCTTGCATCAAACGGGGTAGACTCGGGTCCATGCGGGGCGGCCAGTCTAGCAGCTATTTGGCGTCTCAAAGCAGAGCACGATTCTCCCACGTACTTTTCTCCGGACTCGGTGATTGTATTGCTGAGCACTGAGGGTCGTCGTCCATACCAGGTCCCGGAAGATGTCTCGTCAGATGACCCGATTGTGTTGACCCAGACCCTTACACGAATTGACTCCTCCAACCCAACACTGTCCAAGGCCAAGGGAGCAGGCGAGACAGATATCGTCAACTACCTGTCAGCGTGGTTTGCGCATCGTGGCATCGAGCATCATCGCGTGGAAACCAAGCCCAGCCGTCCTTCTGTGGTCGGCGTCGTCAGGGGAACTGGAGGGGGGAAGTCTCTGATGTTCAACGGCCACGTGGATACCGTGACCTTGAGCACGTATGAAGGAAACGGACTGAGTGGGCATCTTGGCGAGAAGGATGGCAAACAGGCGATCTTCGGTCGGGGGGCGCTTGACATGAAAGCCGGAGTCGCCGCAGGACTGTCTGCATTGGCGAGCGCTCAGCGATCGAGGCTTGCCGGAGACGTGATCGTCACTGCCGTGGCGGATGAGGAGGATGCCTCGCAAGGCACGATGGATGTGATCCAAGCTGGATGGAGAGCCGACGGGGCGGTGGTGCTGGAGCCCACTAACCTCAGGCTAGCACATGCCCATAAGGGATTTGTATGGGTAGAGCTGGAAGTCCAAGGACGCGCAGCGCATGGCTCGAACCCTGCGGCCGGTGTTGATGCGATTATGAACATGGGATTGTTGTTGCAGGCCTTAAAGCAGTATCAGCAGCATTTACCAGTCGACGAGGTGCTTGGTCAGGCATCGCTGCACTGTGGAGTGATCAACGGTGGGGATGAGGTATCCTCATATCCCGCCAGCTGTTCATTGACCGTCGAGTTCCGGACTGTGCCCGCACAGACAGAGGAGATGATTCTGAATGAGCTACGAGGCCTACTCACTCGAATCCAAAGGCAGAACGCCGAATTCCAGTTTAGCGAGCCTCGTATCACTTTCTCGCGGCCGTGCCAGTACCTGCCTGAGAGTCACCCCCTTGTGCAGCAAATGGTAAAGATCAGCAAGACGGTTCTTGAAGAACCTGTCCCCGTGGTCAGTGTGCCATTTTGGTGCGATGCTGCCCTTCTAACACAAGCCGGAATCCCTAGTATTGTCTTGGGTCCGGCTGGCGAAGGATTGCATGCCAAAGAAGAATGGGTAGAGGTGAACGGTGTGCGACAGCTGACAGAGATGCTTGAGAGGTTGAGTAGGGAATTTTGCCAATGAGCTTGAATGTATCATAGATCACTTAGGGATGAGTCCTTGAAGGTAGACAGTTGCATTGGAGTGGGTGTGTTTACATGTTTACATGAAGGAACGTGGAAGAAGTAAGTAACTTAGTTGATGGCCAACTCTGGACCGCTGCCTGAGGCCTCCATGATGGATTAGTCAGCTTTGCATGGCGGGGGCGCCGGCGGGGCATTTGATGTAAGCCCAATTGCAGCAAGCGGTGAGTATTACACCGCCCTAATCTGCCTTTCGGCCTCGATGACTGCACCCACTCACCCGTCTCTTCTCTCTCTCTCTCTCTCTCTATCTCTTCCTCTCTCACTCCTCTTCTTTAATTGATTGAATTCCAACCTCGTCGCGTCTCGTTCCTATCGATCGAGACTGATACTTTCCTAGATGTAATCTCCATCTGCTCGCCTGGCATTCTGCGATGGATGAGCCCTTCCCGTTCGATGACCAGCTTCTGTCTCCATCCTTCGAGAGCCTTCTCGATGAGACCAACCATTTTCTCGATCAGTCACCAGGCTCGGGCGCATCGTCCTGGAATCTCGCTCCTTCCCTAGAAACCAGTAATGGCTTCTTGGACTGGGAGCCGCTGTCAGACAATGCAGCGTCTTTCGCACTTCCTATCGACCACTCGTCGTTCGACAACCCTTTGCAGCAAACGGAGCTACCTGACGCCCTCTCCACCGACAACCTCTCGCAGCACGATACATTGGCGTCCTTTGACTACTCACTTGCAGCAGATCCTCCCCTCCCAGTTTATTCAACCCGTCTCAATGATGACTTCGTCAGTGTCTCCCAGTGGCTGGATGGTGCCTATCGACCCCCCGTGCCTTGCAGCTACTGCCAACGCCACCGACTACAATGTCTTATCCTGCGCACCACTTCCGCGAATCCTAACCCGGTCACCTCGTGCTCCAGTTGCGTCGCGCTTTACCGGGAGTGCAGCCTCGCACAAGGCGAGAAGCGCCAGGCTGCAGGATTCGAAACCATCTCCCCAGTGTTCGGTCATCTGCACGGCCTCACAGAAGAGCACGGCGGAGGAACTGGGCCCTCGGAGCCCGGATTCGAAGCATCCGCAAGGGAGACGGACAATGCTCTTCAGGCTGAGACGCAAGTGAGGCCGCGCTTCTCGCGCAAGGGGGCCAAAGTTCTGCGCGACTGGTTCAATCGCAATCAGCACTCCCCCTACCCGACCGATGAACAACGCGCCGAGTTCGCCAGTCAGACTGGCTTCACCGAGCGACAGATCTCAAATTGGTTTGCCAATGCCCGCCGACGCCGGAAGATGGCGTCACGCACGCTGCGACCCAACCCCGCCACTCCCTCGCCTCGCGGCAGTTCCCCCATGCCTATCTCGAGGTACGCGTCTTTGACGCCTATGGAGCGATGGCAGAAGTCTCCTCCCGACCAAGATCCAGTCTCCCCAGCCGTCATCCAGAAAGCTATCGCCACTTCGAGCCTTCCCCCAGCAGCAGAAGGTGACTTCAGCCGAGACGAGCGCGTAGAGGCGAGTCGTCGCGGTGACGGTCATGCTTACTCAATCTCGAGCGTGGAAAGCGGACAGTTCGAGAGTGCGCGATCCCAAGCATCGTCCGACACGGCATCTTCAGCGGCCTGGAGTTACAACTCGGATGATCATTTCCCATTCCCGCTGTCCGATAAGCGTCGACGCCGACACTATTCTCGACGCAGGCCCTCATCCACCCACTCACTCGGCGACCTCCAATACCAATGCACGTTTTGCTCCCGATCCTTCAAGAAAAAGCACGACTGGTGCCGCCATGAGTCAAGTATGCACCTTTGTCTTGAGTCGTGGTTCTGCACTGTTGATACCACTACACCTGATCATCTCGAGCCAGTGGAATGTGAGTTTTGCGAAACTCCACGGCCCTCGCCTGCGCACCTAGAGTCGCACGAATTTGACGTCTGCGCGGATCGGCCGCCGAGCGAGCGAACATTCGCGCGCAAAGACCACCTGATCCAGCATCTCCGGAAGTTCCACCGGTGCACAAAGGTGTCCGCAGCGAGGGTCCAGGGGTGTCGCTCCACTCGTACAGCCGTGACGAGTCGGTGTGGGTTCTGCGATGCGGAGATGCAGAGTTGGACCGAGCGGGCGGATCATCTGGCGGACCATTTCAAGAAGGGCCTGCGAATGGATCAGTGGGCGGGTGGCTGGGGACTGGATCGCACATCGCTGGCGATGTTGAGAGATGCTACCTTGCCGGCTCAACGCTCCTCCGATTCGTGACAACCATGTCCTTGAGTGGGAAGAATTCGCGACATTCGCACCCTTCTACCAGTGTCTCCACAGAAATAACCGATAGCCCGGTGTAATATCCCAGCCAGTATTGCTTAGATCATCATGTGTCATGAACGCATCGCGGGTCATTCGAGCTCTAAAAAGCGGCCCGATCCATGAGTGACTCTCCACGGGCCTCCGACCAGCCGTAGCAGCAACGCAGCGCCCTGCATCCTCCGCTCAGTCGACACCACTGGAACAAGGATCTTTTCAGACTTAAAGCCTGGACACTCTTGTTGGGCGAGTGCGAATCTAATTACTCGTCAGCTAGACGCTCGGTGCGTGAGATTCGTCCCTTGCCATCATGGTTTATCCATCTTTAGACAGTAAGATATATATCATTGAAACAATGCTTGTCGTTCAGTCACTAGGCATGATTACGTTCCATCTCAGCAGGTGACCGCACAATCTACCTCATATGACCATATTCGGTCGCAGTTGATATGTTCTGTACAGTACAACAAAGTCTCACGCAACCACTCTCCGCACAACATAAAACCCAGCATACACTAATTTCGGTTGCATCATCTAGAACTGTAACTGTCATTTTGTACACACACACACACATATATATATATATATACTTTCACACTTATCTACAGATGAAGGATAATGTGACAAGGGAGGTGAGCGGATCAGTCCCGGAGGCTACCAGCGCAGCCATTCATGTCCCCGGGAGCTGCAAAAAAAAAACAATGCTTTCTAGACCGTGTATATCTAGACTTGTGGGGGGGAATACTGGTATCGTGTATCATATCCAATGATTAGGTAATCTTCATAACTTTCTTCAGCCCGCTCAGAGAGACGGGCTTGACCAGATACTCGTCCACTCCTGCGGCCAGCGCCTCTTGCTGCTGGTCCGCCGAGCCGAGACCGGTAACCGCGATAATGCGGGTGGGGATGAGGCCCATTTGCTTTTCGTACTGACGGATTTGCTCGGTTGAGGTGATGCCGTCCATCACAGGCATAGAGATATCTGAAGCTTCTGTCAGTCTCATCTGTCGCCTGGCAATGGGCAAAGAGGGGGAGACACTAACCCATGAGAACAAGATCGTGGCGACGAGTGCCATCTTTGTAGGTATTAAGGGCGATCAGGCCATTGGAGGCCGTGTCGTAGCTGCAGCCTAACTTGCGAATGAAAGTGGCGAGAATCTTCCGCGACGGTTTAGCATCAGGTGAACGGCAGCACGGAACACAATACTCACCTTAAGATTGATATCATTATCGTCCACGATGAGTACATGTACATCTTTCAGAGGTTTGGTGGGTGCGGAGGAAGAAGGCGGCTGATGGGTATCGAGTGGGGGGGTTGACGCCGGTGGCATGCTTTGGAAAAGATCAGGAGTCGGGGAGAGTGTAGGGTCCAGCGTTGGGGGAGACAGCGGGGTTTGACACGGGGTCGGGTTCTTGATGTAGTCGTAGAATAGAAGGAGGATGCGGTTTAGCACTTCGTCAAATTTTCGAGGTCCAAACCTGGGTGGATGTTAGTGGATAAATAGCGGGTGGGATAGCAGCCAAGTCTTACGGTTGTGATACGCGAATCATGTTCGGTGCCATGGTATCCCGTATCAGATCCTGATTGCTGTCCAAGACGAGGTAAAGTCTGAACCCGCCTGGAGCGCCCATTGTTGGCTGTACCTTGCCGGCAGCCATGGCCTTGCTGAGGGTTTCCTCCTCTATCACGACAACTTCCCCCTGTGCATCGTCTAACGACTCGGCCTGGGTCAGAGTCCAACCAGGCTGTTTGAGCAGCACCGAAGTCAGTGAGCTGCGAATTGCCAGCTTACGCTTGGCTTCGGCTGGTAAAATCCCAGTCGGCACGTCGCGAGGATGTGGATAGCTGTCGAAGCCAACAAGGGAGAATCTCATGGGGGCTGTCGGCACAACAGGTGGTGATACTATGCCTGCGCCTGGTGTTGCACCCCCGTTGCCTGAAGCCATAAGACGAACGGGGATGTAAATATCCACCTGCGTCCCTATACCCAATTCACTGCGCACATTGATGTGGCCATCAAGGGAGGAGACCAATTGCCGGACAATGCTGAAACCCAATCCCAGACCTTCCGAAAGAGTATCTTCCTGCGCAAATGGGGAAAACAGCTTGTGCTTCAGAAAGTCAGGAGCAATGCCACGACCGGTGTCGGTAACAGTCAGATGAGCGAAGATCGACTGGGGGTCGGATTTCCGCCGTGCCTTGGAAAGTGATACCTCAATGAAACCCGCCTTGGTCCATTTCAGGGAGTTTCCAAGGAGATTCATGACGATACGCCGCCAAGCCCCGGCTACGGATTGCACCGTCCACGCCTGTCGGTCTTGCACACGCACCACTACCGTCAGCTCTCCATCCTTAAGCGCCGCATTGGACGGCGTATGCATGAGGCGGCGGGTGAGCGGGTTGATTGTCCGACCCAGGCGCTGACCAGTATACTGCACATCGGTTACTTCCTCGATCAGATCATCGAGGTCGAAAACGGTCATTAGATTGACCGGCGAGGAATTAGACGATTTGTCGACCGCGCTCTCTTCCCCAGTGGTCAAGTTGTTGATTTTAGCGAAATCAAGGCTGCAGTCGTTAGTAGCGTCCTCGGTGCGATGGTTACGTGTGCGGGGCGGGGGGTGAAGATCCACTTACAGATGGTTCAATGTATCAAGCAGAGTCAAGCCGCAGCTCTGGACCATACTCATCCAATGCGATTGAGAGGGGTCCAGCGGGCTCGTTTGCAGCAGTTCCGCGCTAGCTAGGATGCCATGCAATGGGGACCGTAATTCATGGCTCACCGAGGAGATGAAGGCGGACTTGGATCGCTGGATGGTGGCCCAATCCACCCGCGCCACCTCGGATATGATAGAATCGCCGAAGACCTTGAAGTAATGTAGTTCTTCCATGTCTAGTGCGCGATCACTGCCCTGTGTCCAGACAAGTGTTCCCGCCAGCCAGCGGCCGCGGTTCCAATCCCATAGCGGGTAGAAGAGCACGCAGTACGCGTCGGGGAAACACTGTCTCAATTCATGGCACAGGGCTGCGACGTTCATCCGTTGTACATCTGAGGCTAAGTTGGACGCCTCCTCCGAGGGCGTGACGGGATTGGATTGTGTCGACGGCGTGGCAGAGGCGATCTCGTCGTGAAGGTTGATAAACTGGCCATGCGGGTAGGCGGCCACGAGACGATTTAACAAATCTTCTGTCACTGGGTTCGGGTCAACGGATGAGGCTGCCAAGGGATGGCGCGCCTCTCCTAACACATCGCAGGGTCTCTCCGAAGCCTTGGAAAGCGAGCCTACACCAGGCAAATCCACTGGGCTCGGATACGGATCGGCGAGAAACTCCGGGTTGGCGGTGGTCGGAAGGGGTTCCCAGGAGCCTGAATGACCTGGACGGACCCTGTCGTTGCATTAGCTTACCGCATTTCATACTATCACTGTCGAAAGATCGAGGCTTACACTCCAGAATTGCTCCGAGAGGCATCCAAGAACATCACACCATCCAAGTCCATCGAGTCACGCAAAGTGGCACTGGCTCGGGCAAAAATGCGCGCCAGGTTATCCGAGATACTCGTCGGGGGGCGCACCGACACGGCGGGAAACTCTGAGCGGTCGGACGCTCCGAGAAACGTGTCCCGCGTATCGCTCGGCTCATCATCTCCACCGGTGTTCGTGGACCGAGTCGCCGGGTTGATCGAGGTTGTTGCAGTGCTCTGTTCTGAGCACGTGACCGCAGAGAAGAGCGATGTTAGCTCCCCAGTCAACTCCGAAGCAGTGGAGGGACGGCCTGTCGGTGGCTCCGAGGGGTCGGGAGAGGTGTCGGTCTCAATCCAAGCTGGCGCTTCGGAGTCGGTAGTGGAAGGGGGTGAGTCCGTGGGCACCGTCACAGGGGGCACTTCGGTCGGGTCAAAATCGGAGTGGCCTTTGACGAAACTCGTCAAACCTTTGACCAGACTTTCGGCGCGGCGATGATAGTGGGCGATACGGACATGCTCCAGATGCCGGGAAATGGCGTCGGCGATTTCTCGGAGGGTGGCGACATCGGCATCTCCAAAGTGATCGCGCGGGTGGTCGTCCACGATGCAGAAGGAGCCGAGCACGTAGCCAGCGGGGCTGTAGATGGGGACCTCGGCGTAGAAACGAAAGTACGGCCAGCCGACGACATACGGGCGATCTTTGTAGAAGTCTTCCTTGGTGAAATCTCGGACAATGAAGCGGGATAGGTTGGCGGTCAGATTGGGGGAATCGACGATCTTGGAGGCATCCTGGCCGGTGAAGAGGGCGATGGAATGCGGACAGACGCCCCAGATCAGATCGAGCGTGCGCACACCGAGGTAGATGCCATCGTCCGGGTCATGTTTATCCTTGTCACGCAACGAGATGGATTTGGTGGCTTCGGCGACGATATACTGATTCACGCCGTCGATAATGGAGACATAGGAGCGGTTACATCCGAACCGGTATACACCCAACTGGGCCAGTGCTGTGAGGGTGATATCCGAGGACAGGCGAGCCTCGGGAGGAACATCATCGTCGGGAATATCAACGTTGGAATCTTGCTGATCGGTGTCGTGGCCGAGTACCAAGCGGAGGACGGGTTGATCGACAGTACAATAGTATCTGTAGGGTTGGAGTTGGGAGGATCAGCAGCAGTTACGATGGGTTGATTGTAGGGGTTGTACATTGGAGCAAGCGAACGGAGGTACCTGGATAGATCACGAATGCGCTCTCGCTCCGCCTCTGGGTGTTGCAAGGACGCTGCCATCGCGCACACAGCCCGTTTCACATCGCCTACCTCGCAAAGGGCGGGGGCGAAGAGAAACGAGCGGCGGAGGAGGCGAGGATTCAGCGATGACCCCGATCCGATCAAGTCAGAGCTTTCGAGTCAACGCGAAAAGAAATTGAGATGAGAGAGAATAGATGCGGGGCGAGGGGG